AGTCGACTTCGCTTTGCACCCTTGCTGATTGGGCGCTGGGCGCTGCAGGACGATGATCCGCGATCCGAAGCTGTTCCCGAACCCGGAAGAGTTCATCCCTGAACGGTACCTCGAGACCGTCGACGAGCACACTGCGCGGCGACGCGACCCGCGCAATTACGTGTTTGGCTTTGGGCGGCGGCGCTGTCCCGGCAATCATCTCGCCGAGTCGTCGCTCTGGATCGTCATGGCGTCGATGGTCGCGACGCTCGATATGAAGAAGGCCGTGGACGCGCAGGGAAACGTCATCGAGCCCACAATCTCGTTCGAAAATTCCGTGTTCCGCACGCCGAGCCCGTTCAAGTGTGATATTCGTCCGCGGTCGGAGCAGGCACTCAGACTTGTGCGACAGGCGACGGAGGCGTGAGCGGATGGGTTCCCGGCGTCTTTCTTACTGTATCAATAGCTTTACTCTTACTCTTCGGCCTTTGGGTTTGGCTTCAATGCATTGCTATCTCCTTCCATCGCTAACGAACATGGCCTGTCAGACAGGCGCCCATCGTCGTCTCTCTTCACCTGTGTCCACCATGCGTATCTCTCCCGACGCGTCTCTCGCCGTCCACTCCTCTCGCCGGCCAATCGCGTCGTCGCCCAATCCCCTCGCTGCCCACTCCGCTCGCCGTCTCTCTCCGCGTTGCACCCACTATCACACGCGCAGACGCCGTGACTGTCACATGATCCCAGCGGAGGTACGACCGTGCAGTATCTTGGAGATGATGCCCTGGAGAGAGCGGAGAGCGGTTGCATTAGCTACAGTGGCACGCTTTGGAGATGATGCCCTGGAGAGAGCGGAGAGCGGTTGCATTAGCTACAGTGGCACGCCGAGCGTTGCAGCTCATTGGTAAGCACGCTTTCGTTTCAACTACAATGCGCTGTATTCCATTTCGTTCCAGCTACTTTCTACATGCCCCCGCCCTCCTTTCCTTTCCCCGCAAATACCTCGATCCCATCCCGCGCTTTGCGACGCTCATCCGCCACTGAACTCCCCACGATGCCCTCGCCCGCCTCTTCCATTAATCCCTTGCCATCCATTCCCTGCCGTCCGACTCTCCACGCATCTCGTTCGTCTCCGCGTCTCAAGTAGGTCACGCCGTCGGCAGTCCTTCACCAGCCCCTTCGCGCTGCGGTGCGTCAGTGCCGCCTCGTTCAGAGACAAGACCGCGCGTCGGGCCCGCACTGCTGCGAGGCAAGGCAGTGAGCGTGCGCGACCGCGGCGTGGACCATGACTTCACCTGACCGGCAGCAAGTGCTGGGAAACAGTTCAAAGGTGAGCAACTCCATCCTTCACTTGAGCCTGCGCTCAATCGCCCTGTTCGCACCGAGAATGCCGTCGATCTCGCGAGATGCGTGGATGCCCGGAGTGTACGGAGATCCCGGCGAGAGGTTGGCTGTGCGGATACAGCAATCGACAAAGTGCGCGGCGAGAGACGGCCAAAATCGGTTGCAAGCGCGTGTGGCTCGGCCTTGACAGGCCCTCCTGCGCTCGTCGCCCTCCTGCTGTCCGTGGCCTTGGACTGCGGAGCAAGGCATAGGGCACTGATCACGACCGTGACTGTCGCGCTCGCGATCCTACGGACATCATGATTAGAATGGCGCAAAAAAACCAGCGAGATGACCTACTGCGTGCCGAAGCCATGGTTACACGCAGTCTCCTTCGCCAGAACGTGCGCAGGAGTGTCATCTGCACGAGCCGTCGCGTCCCGCGGTCCATTCTCGTCATCTCATACGCATCCTGTATTCATCGCGCGGCCGGTCGGTGATCACGGCTCACCGTCTCTTGAATAGCCGCATCTGACGCTGTTGTGTTGCAGGCTGGTTTGTTTCGGCGCACGTCGCGCAATATTAGGAGAACAGGAGGCTACGAGGGTTCATCCGCAGCCACAGAGGGCGATCGTGGCCTGCCGCGGACGGTGGGGTCGGTCTAGGGGAGCATGTTGCATTCGAGGCCAGCGGTGACAAGGACTCGATCATGACCGGGGCACCTCCCGACTCAGATACTGAATTTAGCAGGACAGAGACCAACCACAGCACGCCCACACACTCACCGCACCGTTCTCTCTCCCCCAATCCACTTCACCTACTCACGGCGCCACACCCCAACCTCCACCTTCCGCATGACCTCCCCAGCTCTCCCCGCCAAGCTCGCATCCGCCAAGAAAGAACTCGCTGTCGTGCAGCGCGACCTCGCGCGCCGACATCGACGCGCTCACCGAGGCGCTCCACACGTGCATGCGCCGGCTGCACGAGATGACGGTCGAGGCGGGCGACCTGAACGACGAGCTCGCCGAGACGAGGCGCGTGCTCCGCAAGGTGCAGCGCTGCACCGTGCCTCTGTGTTGCGGCGCGTCGACAGCGCGTGAACAATGCTGAACCCGATGGCATGTTTTGGCTTGACGGGCTATGCGAGACCGTGCCTCTGAGTAGACGCAACGGTCGGCAAGTGGTGTTGTATGGTTTTACATCCGGGCATACAAAGCTGATGGCGGCAGAATTATCGACGCGCAGACATATCGCCAGGGCGAGGAGAGCGGGTGGAGGATCGTTGGCGTATATTGTGCCACAGGTGGACATGAGTCGACCTCAGTTTGTGATTCTCTTAAGCATAATGTAACAATAATGAGAAAACTTCGGATTACAAAGGGCAGAGGATTGAACCTGCACCAGAACTTTCCTCTGCACAGTGCGAACTGCTTCCAAGTTCACACCGGTGTGAAAGCACTGCTCTAAACTGAGCCATCAGACTCGGACCCAGACAACGGGGGGCATTCCTATTGCCGCTGCGGAGTTCTAATGTGAACCTTCCGTGTGACAAGCAGGTAAGATCAGCGATTTTCATGTGCGATTCATCGACCCGACTGGTTGGGATGGAGAGTCTGGTCACGAGAAGGCAATCTCGTGGGTGCTTTCGCACTTGATGACCGGGCCTAAAACGGCTCTTCATAAATCGATTATCAAATTGTGTTCCGCGTCGTGATTCTTCCTGCAAGCAGGCATGCTTTCAATGCAACAGATACAGCACTCGATGTTATTTACATCACTCCATCCAGTCGAAACTTTCCGTACATCTGTCTGCATATTTTAAGCTATGATTTGTTTAGAACCAATACACCGGAACATTTCCTGCGAGTACTCTCAAGTCATCAAACTATGACCACACGGTCAACGGGGTACTGATTCTTCCGAGAAGCAGAGGTCAGGTTCTGGCCATCATGGCCTTGTCAAACTTTGTCCGCCCATTGTTCTCCTGTACAAATTTGGAGCCGCCCGCTGATTCTGCGAGGGAATGATAATCTTCAACCAATAGCGCGCTCACCAGAACCCACTGAAGTTGAGAGCAAGTCGCTCGGTAGGCTGTAGCTTCCTTTGCGCTGCATCTGATAGTGTAATATTGCACAGAGTGAGCTCCACCGTGCCGGTGGTCGGAGAGGGGGGCGGTTCACATTCTGAGTCAATGAACCAACCTTCCCATCACCCTTTGCATCTAGCTCCAAAGTCCATCATCCATCATCCGAAAGAAGTGTTGCTTTCGGAGTCATATTATGAGCATCTTGCGTCGAGTCACCCGAAGTGCCGTCACCTGAACATCTCCGTCCTCATGAGTCATGGCTATACCTTATGACAATAATGGCGGAGACCACGCGGAAGTCTTCCTTACACAAACTGTGCCCGTTCTAATGGTTCCGGTGAGTACCGATGGTTTCAATCCTCGTAGGCTTGCTCGCAGCCTCCGAGAGCACCATATGCCCATGGCGTCCAGGGTCTTCAGACGACGGACCATCTTCAAGACTCTGCGATCTATTGAACATGGCGGATAGCGATAAGTGATCTCAGGTGCACTGTGCATGCGGTTGAACTTCCGGAAGGTGGCGGTGTCAGAACGAGACACCGGTCAGCTCATTTCGCAGCAAAATTGGCGGGCTGCTTTGAGTGGGTTAGAGATGCATGGGTGTTGCCGTTTTTGACGTGTGGACATCGCCCACATTGTTCATCATGGGAGAGGGACGTCCTCGCCATTGAATACGACCGTCGACGAGCAGGTACAGACATGGCCCTTACGAACATGCGGTCAGTCGCGTTCAGGTCCCCGTACTGATTGTGAACATGCACATAGGCAAAGTTCATCAGTGCTATCGCCGCGTCCGATATACATTTACGTACAGGCATTCTGGGGCGCAACGCATGCTCCGTGCTGCCGAACAGAAGTTTGATGACAGAGCCTGCTGACCTGCACGCCGTCGCTTCTTCATTTCCCTTCAGATGCTCGGGTGTCCAATGAGTCAGGGGTCTAGGCGTGAATGTCCTGAGCTGTGGAATAAATAGGCTGGTCAGGGTCAGCATCCCTCATCCCTCCACCCCCCCCACCTCCTCTCCTCCATCTTCTCGCTTCTCTAACTGACCCCCCTCGTTCACCCCCTCCCACTCTCCACAGCCCGGTCAAATGCCAGGCCCCGACATGGTATGCACGCCCACTGCGCCGAGGTCCTTGCCAGAACTGACCGTCTCAAATCGCCGCGCACAGCCACCACTTTCCCGCCCTCACAGTTGTACGGTCCGCACGTTGTCGCCGGCCCCGCCGCCGGCGACTCGATTGCAGGACCGGCACGTCATCCCGCCCATCGCGCCTCATCTGCCTTCGCTACGTACGTGCACGTCACCGCTCACTCCGCGCTCACCTATTGACCGTCTTCATCCCACACCGCGTGCGGGTGTCCTCGAGCGCACGCCCGTACTGCCCGCTCTTGCAAGTCGTGTCCGACCCGACCATCCCGTGGCACTCACCTGCCCAATCCGCTCCCTCGTGAGCCTCTCCTCTCTCAACCCAGACGTCCGCTCAGATGAACCTCACGCAGACACAATGTCGTCGCCCGCCGGTGCATTGAGGACTGGCCCGCGCAAGGGCACGTCGAGTCGGGCGAAATCGCGCACGATGTGCGAATCGTTCGTCTCCGCCATATATTGGCCTGGTACGTCCTGCGTGCTGCCCCACACGCGTCACTCACGTCTCTTGCAGACGCGATCATCATCTCCTGGAAAGTGTACGTTTCGAGTCAGCGCATGCCGTCGCAGCGACGCGCCCTCACGATCGTTGGCAGTCGGCAACACAAGGAATCGAGGACCTAGCTGGACGCGTCGACGCGCCAACACTGTATACTGGCCAAGTAAGCACGCGTCCGTGTTGTGGTCGCACGCGCACACAGCCCGCTAAAGTTTACCTTCCACAGTCGAACTGTCAGATGTTCGGCAACGCACGTGCGTGAAATGCACACCCGTGCACTGCTTTCGATGCTCACGGTCATCTCGGCTGTGTTAAAGTAGAAATATATTTCGGGAAGGAGGAGGGGTAGGGGAGAAATCGTTGAATGGAACATTTGAAAGGGGTAGGGGAGAAATGGAAGTTTGAATCACATACCTGCTATTGTGAGGCCAGAATGCGTGAGATCGGCAGCCGACGCACATCAGAACGGACGGCGTACCATGTGAGCGCGATCGCTCTCGCGAACAGACCCAGCGCACTGGGATTCGAGAGCAGAACGCTCGCGGCGCGTGACGAGATGAGCGCGAGCTGCGAGCGATGGCTGCGTTCGCATGCAAGCGCGATAATCAATTACATACAGACTGACCGTGAAACGTACGACCTGCGCGCGGGTGGTCTCGTTTTGGCCTAAGACTTGCACGCGTTCATGTTCCCTGCATTGCATGCACGCGCTGGGCATTTGCGCCGCGACCCATCGATGGCGCGCATGTCGTGGTGGTATTGTCGCTCGTCGGGTGGGGGAGAACGTGCGTCTGAGCGCACGACGGTCGGCGAGCGGCGATGTATGTATGGATAGGCCCGAACGACGGCGGCGCCTCTGCGACGCGGCAACGGTTGATCTTGTTGATGCGGTCGACTTGGAGTGCGAACGAGCTCCGCTCGTCGTATGGAAGAGCGAGTGGGTTGCATCCGGGTGCGCGAAGCTGACGGCGACACGGTCAAAGCAGGGAGAGCAGGCGTTGGGGTGCGCAGACGTCGCTCGACATGTAAAAAGCCAGGGCGCACAGTGAACGAACAGATGCGTAATTGCATGGCTGAACATGTATCTCAGAAGGCGATCCCGTAGTCTTGCGATTGGCACTTTTCATGACCTGGGTGACGGACTCGGAACCCTCCTGTGGCAAAGCCGAATGCTGAATGAGTGTCAGAGGATCGCGCCGGTGATGATGGCAGGCCCCAGGTCGCGTCTCTGCAACCTTGTGCGAGCCGACGACCAAGCGAGTGAGGATTACGCCTGGCGTGCTGTTCGCAACGCGAGCAAGGCCATCAGAAAGGGCGGAGATACGGAATAAGCAGCACGCGCAAGGGACACGGGGGCTAGTCCGCTGCTTCTCACCTGCAGGACGCTGCGTCCTTTGGCGATGCGGCGCATCCCTCTTAACTTTTCCGGTCGCTCTGCGCGGCCCAGACGGCCCAAGTCGCCATGGCATCAGCGCAATTTCGACCCTATCGTGGCCAGCTCATTCCCTCCCCTCGGCTCTGCTTCTGACGCGTGTCATGATCAACTTCATTAACGCTCATCTGCCCCGAAGACGTCCAACGTAAGTAGCGCGAGCCCAGATATAAATGCCGTCGCCGTTCGACTAGCCCGAAACACAGCGTTCCTTATCCTTGGGCTTCTTCCACCATCCTCAGCCGTTGGCGTCTGGACTTTCTGATTCCTTCATAACCGCCAACGCGCATTCGTTTGCCACCCCACTAATCCAGGTCACTCTGGCCAAGTTCAGCTCGCAGGCGACTTCCCATTTCTGACCCCGCCGTTATCGTCGGTGGACGCTAATCAAGTCGCACTCTCCGCTCGTTTATCCCTGTTGCACACTCCCTTGCCTTAACTTATCTCTATCTCGCGATGGGTATCATCTCGCTCGCCCTTGCCTTGGCGGCCGTATACTACACCTGGACATACTTGAATAAGCCCAAGAAGAACTTGCCTCCTGGTCCTAAGCCTTTGCCCATCGTTGGCAACATCTTGAACCTGGTTGCGCGGGAACTATGGTTGCCCGCGTCCAAGTGGGCACAAGAATATGGTGGGTTGAATTTTGATACGTTATTTGCATCCAATAGACTTCGCTGTGGCCTGCTCATGGACGCCACAAGACGCTTCGCTGCAGATTGTGTACCAGTTTATCTTGGAAGAATGTGACTATGTCGTAAGCTGGACGTAAGCGCACGCACTAGAGCGGTCAGCTTGACAGCGAACGTCCTGCGAAGCTGTCGTTGTAGCCATCGATGCATTGCACTGAAACATCTTCTTGACGCTTGCTCTCCCAGCGACATATCTTTACATATCATTGCTGTGTTTGTTTTTAAATCCGGAGACTAACGCTTTCACATGCGCAGGTAGCATTGTTTACATTCATGTCTTTGGCCAAAGCCTCGTCTTCCTAAACGACTACGAGGTCGCCCTCGAACTGCTAGAAAAGCGCGGTGCGATATACTCTGATCGGCCAGGATTTGTCATGGCCGGAGAACTGTAAGTTTCCGTGCTTCGGGATCGTCATACAATCGTGAAACACGCTAACGGGCGCTTCTAGGTGTGGATGTAATAACATGGTAAGCTAGGCCTCCACAGAATGTACAGACGGTGAAGTGACGACGTTTTCCTAAGGTGGCATTTGCACGATATGGTGACCAAACACGTCGGCACCGACGTCTGATGCAACAGGCGCTCGGGATATCCAGCATCCGTCGATACGAGCCTCTCTTGGAGGTAGAAGTCAAGGATCTTCTGAAACGCATGCTCGTGAGCCCAGAAGACTACACCGGAAACATCCAGCGGTATGCTTCACTTCTCTTCCTGATGACGTCCGATCTGAGCGGATGATGTTCCTGAAGGTATGCGGGCAGCATGACGCTCAACACGGTCTATGGGTACCACGTGCAGTCGAACGAAGACAAGTACATCAAGATGGCGGACGAGGTCGTGAACATCCTTGCGAACGACATCTCGTCTGGCGGCGGCATTTGGCCCGTGGACATCATCCCAGCGCGTAAGTTGCCACCGAACTTTCTCCGCACGCTGTCATTCATTGAGCGCGTCACGCAGTGCAATACCTTCCTGACTGGTTCCCTGGGAGTGCGTTCAAGCGCAAGGCAGCGACATGGAAGGCGAAGCTGGAGAATTTCGTCGACAGGCCGTACGAATGGGTCAAGGAGCGCATGGTATGTCTTTTGCTACAGGATGCGATAATAATAAGGCGCGCTTATGGAGCTTCTTCCTTGACAGCGCGATGGAACAGCTGTTCCCTCATTCTGCTCGACCCTGCTGGAGGACCTTCAGGAGCGCTGCGAAAAAGAGGCGGATCCACAGCGCGAGTCTGACATCAAGTGGACGGCAAACTCTATTTACGCGTCTAGTATCGACACCGTGAGTTTCCGCAGCGGCTCCAGATGCTCAGACGCTCATATATGTTCGCGCGCTCAGATGTTGACGACGGTCGACCACTTTATTCTTGCAATGATCCTGCACCCGGAGAAGCTCGTCAAGGCACAGGAGGAGATGGACAGAGTCGTCGGCTCCGGCCGCTTGCCGACGTTCGCAGACCGCCCCTCGCTACCGTACCTGGAGGCCATCATGAACGAGTCCCTGCGCTGGGGCGCACCCGTGCCGCTCAGCCTGCCGCACCGGCTGATGGAAGACGACGTCTACAACGGCATGTTCATCCCCAAGGGTTCTCTCGTCTTTGGCAACGTCTGGTGAGTCACGCCGTGGAGTCGACTTCGCTTTGCACCCTTGCTGATTGGGCGCTGGGCGCTGCAGGACGATGATCCGCGATCCGAAGCTGTTCCCGAACCCGGAAGAGTTCCTCCCTGAACGGTACCTCGAGACCGTCGACGAGCACACTGCGCGGCGACGCGACCCGCGCAATTACGTGTTTGGCTTTGGGCGGCGGCGCTGTCCCGGCAATCATCTCGCCGAGTCGTCGCTCTGGATCGTCATGGCGTCGATGGTCGCGACGCTCGATATGAAGAAGGCCGTGGACGCGCAGGGAAACGTCATCGAGCCCACAATCTCGTTCGAAAATTCCGTGTTCCGCACGCCGAGCCCGTTCAAGTGTGATATTCGTCCGCGGTCGGAGCAGGCACTCAGACTTGTGCGACAGGCGACGGAGGCGTGAGCGGATGGTTTCTCGGCGTCTTCCTTACTGTATCAATAGCTTTACTCTTTCGCCTTTGGGTTTGGCTTCAATGCATTGCTATCTCTTTCTATCGCTGATATCGAGGTCCGATTGAGATCGATAACCGCGATTGCATTTCATTTCATCCATCCACATGAGGGAATTCCTATGTACAGAGTGGATCCGACAGCCCGGTAGGTAAAGATGAGGAACGGTTTCGCAAGATGGTACAGGTACATATAAGTTGAGCGAACCAGACATGATAAATAACTCTCAATCGCAGATCACCAAAATCGATACTTTGTACATGAATATTCGAATATTCGCCACGCTCACGATTCATTCGTCACTTCCACCAACGTCCATCGCGCGTTCATTGACCCGCGCTCCACTTATCACATCTCCATCTCCATCTCCATCCCGTCCCATTCCTCTTCGATCTTGTCATGGCCGACCTTAACAGCCCTGATACCCTCGTCTACCTTCTGCGACCTCGCCGAGAAACCGTAATGCCTGCCGGCAATGCCATAGTCATCTCCATCTCCATCCACGTCCACATAGTCACTCTCCGACACGGAACCACTGCGCGAACGGGAGCAAGAACGAATCGATGAGCGTGGGATGGACCATTCACCAGTGCCCTCCGAGTACGAATGCTCAAATGCAGACGACGAGCGGAAGGACGACTGCGCGAAGCCAATCGAGATGGGCGAACTCCAGGTGTCCGACTGCTGGCTCGCAAAGCTGTAGCTCAGTGGCTCGCGCTCAGGCGTGGGCACAGGCACAGCGGCGGATCGCTGAAGCGGGTTCTCGTCTGATGGCGAAGCGCGCATGGCGGGACTTTGGGACCCAGTCGGCACTGCGAGCACGCCTGGACGGAGTTGGGTGATGCCGCCTGTGGCGAGGACGGAGTAGTCGCGCATGCGCGGGCCTGAGCGCTCCGAGGATGAGAACACGGACGATGCAGGTACCGAGCTGGAAGAGGGGAACGGTGCGGACGGCTCGGCGGCGGAGGATGAGCGCGGGATCGTGTTCACTGGGCTCGGCGGCGGTAGCAGACCGCCAGAGAGGAACGACGGCCAGAGCGAACGGTCCTCTGGGAGCGAGGTGCCGCCCCGCGAGGAGGGAGAGAGGTGTGAAAGGATGGCCGCTGCCTGTGGTGAGACGGTGAGAGGGTGAGCAGGTTTATCCATCGACCGATAAGTAAAAACCTTACCTCAAGCAGCTGAACTTGCTGGTGCTTGCTGAGCAGGAGCTTGGACGCCTCTCGCCAATGTGGTGAGTGCTCCCAGCGGTGCTTGATTAGACAAGACGGATGGCGGTACGCCTTCGAACAGCTCTCGCACTTGAGGATCGTGCTCCTCTTCTTCCCTCTGCTGCCCTTGGCACTTGTAATGCTGATGCCGGCACCGGCAATATCTGTCTTGGTGGGCAAGCGGTCAACCTCTTCTGACTTGACACTGACTTCATTGCTCGCGTTCTGCTGCGACACTGCTGCGGACGAGGAGGAATGGATGACACCTGATGCTGAGACGAGGGTAGTCGCTGTCTGGGGCGGAGGCGTGGCTGATAGCGAAAGCTTCGCGAGCGATGTAAGTGCCGCCGCCGCTGTGGAGAGCCCTATAGGCCTGTGGGAAGATATATGTATGCACGGCGGATTTGGTGATTGGAATGCACGCACGACGGTCGACTCGCTGCCTCTCGAGCATCGCTCAGTCTCCTCGCCTGTCCTGTGGACGACAACCGACGATGCTTGTGGGGGTGCGACTTCGTGGCTAAGCTGCTGCTAACATTGTTTGGACCATTGCCGACGCTGTTCTGGCCACCATAGCTACTTGCGAATCCGCTATCTTGCGACGTGTCTCTCGAAACGGGGATGGGAGCTGCACTCGCAGCAGCCAACGACAATGATAGCAATCCCTCCATCATCTTGTAGCACGTCAAAGGCCGCGGCAAGGTATGGCTGTGGATTGAACACCCACCATAAGATTGTGCGGCTGATTTGGGCCACCTCTACGACCGACAGCAACCTCTGAACGAGTACGTAGGTAGACAGAAGATTTGACGAGCGAAGCTACGACACTGTACGCATAGGCAATCACCAAACAATAGCCATCGACGGCGGTGGTTCAGGCAAGGCCACTCGTCAATGTTCGGGACGATGAGCAAATATCGTAAATCGTCGGAGTTGTTGAAGCTTTACACATTTTGGGAAATTGTCGCATCGCGGTGGTAGATTCGGAGTGTAAACATTAGGGTAGCGGGAAATGCCCGACACCTCGATTGCAGGAATGGAGTTAGAAATTTAGGCTTACATAAGCTAACCCAGTAAATAATCTCGAGCAAAGGCTTGAAAAAGGTTACTTTGTACCTTTTCTGGGCATGAACTTCCGCCAAGCTGCCTACGTTAATTTGCAAAGGGCGCCTCTAAGGGGAATCCTATGCCAAATTGGTCGATGTTCATACTCCGATTCACCGCCGCTGTATCTGCTGTGGCGCCCTTCCTCTGTTTTTGCCCGGGCTCAGCGACGTCCTATCATCTGGCTATTACAAGACCACCATACCGCAAGTCAAATATAGTCTTTGTTTGCATGAACTTTTCGTCTCTGCGGCTTACAGCATCAATCCGCTGGTACGAATCATGTCTAAAGCTTTGCAGCAGAAACAACACGCCTATTCAGCCGAAGCGTTTGTTCTCTAACGCGCCTCCATGTCGTCAGCAATCCCTATACACACCATACGTGCGTCCTTTGAACCAGGAGCAACTTAAAACGATTCGGAAGGCGCAAATGCGCGAAGAACCGCAGTTTCATATCAGGTACAAGAAGGATGTCGAGTTTTTTCTTTCCGTGCGTATAAAATCATTTTTCCATCGTCATCGCTTCATCTTATGCAGAGCTTTAGAGGTCCACTTCGACTGAAGCACGCATGAACGAGCGTGACAGTCTTCGCTCTCGTCTGGAGTCAACTGTCAAGTCGCGGTTTGGCGATGAGTACGGTGTAGAGGATATCAGTATGTGGCGGTATGGGCAGGATTTGCATCATGCCCCCCTCGAATACGCTATTGTGGTAAGAGGGCTTTATGAAGCGCTCTGTATATTTCTGATAACGCTGTTCGCTCAGGACACAAAACATCCGCAAGGGTTGTCCTCTCATGATGACTTACAAGATTTACCGCCGGTCTATGACCCTGTGTACGTTCGAATCTGCTTTCGCATGGTATCCTGACTCATTGAAAATCAGTGCTGTGTCAAATGCTCTTCTCAAGGTGGGGTACAAGGGCTACTTCCACGAGCCATCTTTCAGGTCATGGGAAGAGACGTTGCAGTTCGAAGATGATGAGCCGATTCTCCCTTCTCCTGCAACCGTCAAGGAATGGCCCCGTTACGAACGCGCTAATACGAAGGAGTTGTGCTACCCGCCGACGCTGCATGGGACCTCACCTATTGACTTCAAGCTGACATTGCCGGGACCCACCATCCTCCCGCTGACGCAGCTTTTGAAGGCATATTTAGACTATTCGATACAAGTCAAAACCCTCACCTCGATATACTTCCTATGGGCGCGCTCTTTGGCAATACATGACTTATCTCCGGTGTGCGTTGCCCTTATGGTAATCCAGTATTACCAGGTAAGCACTTTTGGTCGCCTGACTGATGCCTTATGTTTTCAAGACTGATTTTACGTGACCGTGGTAGCAAAGCGTTGGTATGCAATCATTGCAGCGGACAGCTCCTACAAAGGATGTCGACCCTGCTTACGTCTGGGTTCCCCAGATGTATGCCGACGAAGTTTCTGAAAAGGTGCTCGCGTATTGGGATCGTGGAATTTATCGTCCTGTAGATGAGGTATTGGATGAACTCCAATGGAACCACGCACCATATCAGATAGATGTCTCATTCTGGAATCCACCTCGTCCGAAAACATCCACCACAATCGGCATGCACTCGTACAACTTTGCAAGGTTAGGGTCACGACTCGCGAAGATCGTCATGAAAAAAAGCTGATAGCTACTGTGTCCATCTCAGATCGCTCATCAATGGCATGCAATATGTCAAGACGCATGCTCTCTCTGTGCGTGAGGGTGACGCACTCTCCCGTCGTGAAGCGAGATCGAAGGTGTTTCCTATAGATGTCTACAATGACTCTGTCGGGGAGATCGACGGCAACTGGTGTAACCCCACGCGATGGTTGGCGGACGCCCTCGTCGTGCAGGACCCGTTCGTATTCACGCAAGTACGTGTTTTCTTCTATTTGAGACAAGGCGCGGTAGTTTACGATATAATCTAGAACCATGCAGGCTCGATGTCGAAGGCGATGATGCAATACTTCTTCTACTATATGTCTCGGACGGCACACATCATCAAGGCAGGGAATCCATTTTTTGACATTTTCGGCCCGTATATCGATCTCGCCCAATCGCACGAAGGTGGAGCACTGAGAGATCGGGCACCACATATTTCCATTGGGGGTGAAGCGGCGGCGCGGACGACAGCACCAAGTTTCACTGATGATGACGATGTACCATTCAGTCGTCGACGGAGAGACGCGTCAGTCAACGATTCAAAGAAGACGAGCTCCATGGAGGACGAAGATGTGCCGTTCAGTCGTCGACGGAGAGGAGAGGCATCGCTCAACGGTTCAAAAAGGACGAGCTCCATGGACGATGAAGACGTGCCATTCAGTCGTCGACGGAGAGAAGAGGCGCCAGTGGACGACCCAGACAGGATGAGCTCCATGGACGATGATGACGTGCCATTCAGTCGTCGACGGAGAGGGGAGGCGTCGCTCAACGATTCAAAAAGGACCAGCTCCACCGAGGACGAAGATGTGCCGTTCAGTCGTCGACGAGGAGAAGAATCTTCAATCGACAACGCGGACAGTACGATCGACATAAATGACGACGATGTGCCACCCCGTCGCGGAAGGAAGAGCACAGTGCCGTTTGACAATTCAGACGGGACGCGAACTTCCTCATATCATGCCAACAGACGGGAATCGTCCATGCGGCGCTCAGGCTCATCCGGCTTTAATCGTGGATACCACAGCTCTGCTGTTCAGAGCGAAACCGGGGCCAATCGAAGCCAGACACTGCGATGGAGATACGAGGGAAGCACGGTTGGATGGGTTCCTGTCGAGAGAGATGACACTCGCTCAATCGACGAAGAAACACTCAACGCATTGCTGGTATGAGATTATATCGTGATCAACCGCGGGTTGTCTAATGGAGTTGCCAGCCTCCTTCTGTCCCAGATGAGGTACACAAGATGCGAGGGGAGACGTTAAAGCGTGTGCAGCATATCATTGCAAAAAACTATAAGCCCCTATATTTGCTCGAGCCATTTGGTAGCGTTTGCACTGGGATAGATTCTCCCACTAGCGATATCGATATTGTTATCATTGTAAGTTATACTCGATCGACATGAATACACTACTCTCCCTGAACCCGTGGGTACCTAGGATGAGGACAGACCGCAAGGGTTCGAACAGGCAGAGAGCAAGAAAGGGATACCTCGTGCGTAGGTCCTCATGTTTCGTTCGCAATTGGCTCACTGCTTCGATGCAGCGATATATGACGTCGCGTGAGCTCGCATTTCACGCCCGTCCGTTCTCTCATATTCACGTCCTTTTCAGAGCCCTCGGTAGGGTCATGCGCAAGGCGAGGTTCCGGAACGTACAGAGCATTTCTCGTGCTTCTGTCCCTATTGGTCTGTTTTCCGACTGAAGGCTCGATGATCTAGCTGCTGAACACGTTGTATCACAGTCAAATGCAAGGATCCGGTGAATGGCCTGGCATGCGACATCAACGTCAATGAACGACTCGGGCTGGTGAACTCGAAGTTGATCCGTCACTACCTTGATTTGAACCCCGTGCTACGCCCCATGATACGGTTTCTGAAGACATGGGCGAAATCCTTAGGATTGAATGACCCATCCGGCGAGAACGGGTCGCCCACCTTCAGCAGCTATGCACTTACGTTGATGACCATCGGGTGGTTCCAGGTGCGTTCAAGGCTCCCAAATCGACGAGTTGTGTATAGTGTTCTAAGGTCCGCGGCTGTAGATTTGTGGACTCTTGCCAAATCTACAAGCCGGCGTTAAGGAGATGCATTCAGGTGCAAACAGCTTCTTTTATGCTGAGATAGCGATCAAAAACAAGAAGAGCAAAGGAGTGACGCGCGTAAAATGTGACCTTCGTTTCCGCGAAGTCGTCAATTGGCAACCGTCTGAGACAGAGATCGACCTGCTAGAGGTGCTCAAGGATTGGTTCAAGTACGCTCTGTGGACGCTGGAATAGTGCCTTATCTTATTCCGTATTTTTTTCCCGAAGCTACTGGGGTGTGGAGCACAAGTACAGGCCCACCGTTATGAGCGTTTCTCACGGGGGCGTTCTAACGAGAGAACAGGCTTTAGACAGTTGGGCCATGCTATGTCAGGACCCTGCTCGCTATGAAACATCGAAGAAGGATGGCAAACTGATAGCGGTTGCGAGGGCGAATTCAGCTGCTGTAGAGGACGACGTGGTCGAAGGTGAGATGTTCGTAGAAGAGTCGTCCGAGGATATGACGGCCGAGGAGGACGAAGAAACCTCTCCGGACGATTGGGACACCGAAGATGGAAAACCTCCTGTGGGATGGCCCTTCAAACCTGAAGTTACGCCCGAAGAGTTGCGTTCCGTCAAGGATGGGGAAAACGAAGGTTATTCCTTAGACCGATTGAACACCGAAGATAGAAGCTCTTCTCCAGGATGGGCTCTCGAGCTCGATGCCAACATAGAGAAATTGCATCCAATTGATGCAGGATCTCCGGCTGCGGAACACGCGCGCCAGGAACTCTTGGAAGAGCGACAGTCCTTGGACGAAAGGATTGCGAGACGTCTGCCCTCCCAAGATGACGCCCAACCTTTTGAATCAGCTCGTGCATTATCGCGGAAGGAAATTGCCAAACGCTTGGGAAAGGGTGCGCTATCCAGGTGGATGGAATCGCCCCTATGCGTCGGCGATCCCTTCGTTCCGCTGAAGGTATGCCCATAGCGCCTCAAGTCGCTCGTGTTCTGCTCATCGCATGGTATAGAACGTAACGGGGAGTATAGCTTATCGCGAAGTTGCACGATTCTCAGCTGAGTGTCGCACCGCACTGACTTTTCTCGAGTCCGATGGCGGCTTGGAGCACATTCTGGAAGGATTTGTGAGGCGAAGGAGGACGAAACCAAGGACACAACTGAAGTCAAAATCGAAGACGAAAAGCAATCGTCAAGCAAAGCGGACGAGGACCCATGCAGATGCTACTGAAGATCTTGAGGCTATTCATTCAAGCGTGTTGTGACTTGATTTGAAAGTACGATCCGTCCTCGTAATAGCCTGCCCACGATCATTGGGAGAGGATATGGCAAAAAAGCTTCTCTACTAAATCTCCCGCGCGGCGCCATTTCCAACATGCGCAATACGTCGTTCGAGGGAACAGCGCGTCCACTATGATCCAAAGTTCAATCGACAATTGGAATGCAAGTATGGATTATTGGTATACCTGATTGGGGCTTTGTATAGAATGTAGTGATAATTTCTACTAGTTCCATGATGAAGTTGAAGACATACATGGAATCACACAGCAGCCTTAATCACCTCAGACTCTTGATCCATCTTGGCCGGCTGCGGGTAAGAATGCAGACAGCGGCATAAAATGTTGACGCTTTTGTCACAAAGGCTCGAACGCGCATTAAATGATACTAGAAAAGGATTGACGAGATCTATTGGACACAGTGAGCGGCGTGGCATGAAATCACGCTAATGTAACGCCCACGTACACCAATGTTATGTTCATTAAGCGCCTTGTTTAGACCTGCAATGTGCGGGGGAAAGCTCTGTGGCAGAGAACGAGCTTTCGTCCAGGTCCAGGCTGCCGTCCATCGTGATTGAAGAAAAGCCTGTGCGGCAGGAGAATACTGAGAGGAGCGAATGCCTCTGCGATTACCACTGTCACCTACATTCTGATGGCATAGGTTAGAGATGTCAGTCTCAGGTGAATCAAACATGATGAAGACGAGCAAATGTACCGAGGCCCACAGCTTGTGGCGGCATAACTCAGAGCAGAATCCATCCAATCAGAATGATCGTCGCCGCCGACCAGTAATATTATGTTGCCCTATACGGCGGCACTATGAGGTGAAAATGCACCAGCTAGACGTAGTCGTAGAATCCCGAGGTCGAGGGGCTTGGGGCTGCTCATTGTGCGGCCGCCGCCTCAACATAGAGGGTCATTTCATCTTCACGAATCCAGTGCTTGCTTTCACGCGGGGAAGTTTGGACATCACATCAAAATAACGAACCACTTAACGGAAGGTAAGAGGTGGCTCGTTCCTGGTCTGGTTATTGCTATAGTCTCATATTAATACGAGTATCAGATGTGTCGTATGTATCATTCAAGCATGATGTGTCGTCGGAAGATGGTGAACGAACTTGCCGCTACCCTTCATGAAGATATCCTAATGAACAAAGACATCAATCGGCCGGTGAATCAACCAATCACGAAGGTGACCGAATAGAAGCCCTTACCTTGATTATGCCCTTTCCAATCAATCCCAGGGCAGTACGACTCTCGTACAACGGATATAGCACTACCGATATGGCAGAACAGAAGGTCCAGATCATCCCGATGACGACCCATGCAGACAGGCCTCGGACGCCGTAGATGGTCTGTGCGAAGAACAATGGGAGCGGAATAATGATCAACATGACCAAGGTCTATGTGACGGCACATTACGGGGTCAATACATACTCTGTTGTACCGCATGTTTACTCACCAAGGCGATCGAGGACCACGCGGCGAGATCGAATGCTTTCTGCAGTGCTGCGGGGTCTAACTCCTTGGCCTCTTCCGCGGCTGCTGCCTCAGCCGAGATGACAGGCTCTAATGATACGTCGCTCGAGTGCTGCTTCTTCTCATCGAAATGATCCTGGTGGTCTGCATCGACAGATTTTTCATCGGCACTGCTACTGCTGGTAGAAGACTTATTGATGGCTCGCGTGATGTCGAAGTTGAAGTCCTCTGGCCACTGCGGTCGACGTGGATTAGTTGCTACGGTGAAAGCACTTCGGAAGAAGAAACGACGCACGATGAGAGAAGTCGTGACGGCCACTATACCGCCGATTCCGATGGAGGCCAAGTTACCGGATAGCATCTCATGGTCGCCTCCGCTGGTCTGATCATGAACATTAGGCCGATACGTTACGGATAAAGGGAAGATCGGGCCCACCGTGACATTGATGATGCTATCATTGAGCGTCGCAGTACTAACTAGCCATGCAATAACTCCAGAGCAGAACCCAGCAACGGCCCCACAAATGCATCCCCACTTGTTCGCCTTCTTCCAAGTGACGCAGATAGCAATGGGTACCACTGCTGAACCCAAGACAACGCCCATGAAATCCTACAGTGGCGATATCACTCAGATGCAAGTGTCAACACATATCTTTGACTTACGTAGAGCCACCCCATGGAGATGCCAATGTAGTAGAAGATAAGGCCAAGGAAACCCATCACAATGGCAAAGAAAACGACCTAGCCACACGCATCAGCACTGTATCTAACGAATGTCACGGACCAGGACATACCATAGCGTGCGACATCATCAGGATCTGTCTCTCGGTGGCTTTCGGGTTGAAGTACCTCTGCGCAATATTAAATTCATGGATTTATTCAAGAATGATGTGAAGTGCATCACCTTGTAGACATCGTACGTCAACACAGCCGAAACCGCGATCAATTCTGCCGAAGTCGCAGACGTGACTGCCAAGAACAGCACGACGAGCAATGCTGCGGCACCGGACTGTCCGAGGAGAGCCGCAGCAGCGGCCGATGCAGGCAAGCCCGCAGAGACGTCCGCAGCAGTCAGAGTCATCATGTCGGGGTCGTTGCGCAGGGCTACTGCAGAAAGGCCGAGGGTAGTTGAAAACATGAACGGGATAGCGAACCTGCATCGTCTGCGTCGGACAAATCTCGAGCGGACGCGGGTATGGTGGGACTTACCAGGCAAGACCACCAACCAAGTAAGCCTTGACGCAGGTCGCAGGGCGACTAGCGATCGCTCGTTGCCAATACTGCCAGAATACCGTTATACATAAGATGGGTTCATCCTAGTCATGTTATTAAGAACGGTTCGTACCGCTTGGTCCTGGAATACAGTCGCAAAGTTTCCGATGACATTGATTACGCCGAAGATCAGTCCGTTTTTGGAACGCATTGTCAGGTATGACCCGTGTGCGTTGCCTGATACTGGGGCTTCTTCCGCTGCTTGAGCCAACAACGAGTGCATCGCACTGAAACTGCCAATCTTTGAACTCGTCGCGTACACGGTGAAAACGAATACGAAGATGATGGCAAACAAAACACTTGTGTGGGTGCTGTGGGATGAGAACGGTAAGCAGTCATACACGTCGAGGGGCAGCGTTGATATGATACGCACTAGTCACACAATAGCGTTGCACGCATGCCTCCTACGACTACGTAGATGGCGACACCGACTGGAATAAGGAAACAGGCCTAGGAAGACTCTATCAGAAAAATGCTGCTACCGCTTTAGGTTGCAACATACTGCTAGTGTGTTCATTCCTGTTAACGAATGGACTGTTGCGGAGCCGCCAAGAATAAGCATGGACGATACGATGATGTTTGTGGCAAGCCTGCGAGAAGTCATCAGATCACAGCCTCGCTTTCGGTGCACACTCTGCTTACCCGAAAAACATGAAGACTAGGTGAGCAACCGTGCCCCATCTGGCAGCAACAATCTCAAGCCATGTATGCGCATGCGGTGCATTGAGCTTCAGTTTGGCTGCAAGCTACATCGAGTATATGATGACTTGTCACTGAAATGAAATCGAATGCAGTGCGGAAATACGGACCTGAGCGAAGAGAAGAATCTGAACTGTCGCGCCGGCGCCATACCACCAAGGGCCGGAGATTCCATACTCATATGCTACGGCGCTAGATTGCAGCTATCATTCAAGCATATCAGACTATTTCGTAATGAGTGCTGTCACCATCAACACACCAGCGTAGCAGCCCATGTCCAAGCGGAGACAATCCCAGACGCAATCAGACCTGGCTTAACGCTTCGCGAGGCGCTATTGAACTCTTCTGAATTCTTCGGTGAAAAGCCAGTATATCGAGACTGTATCGCAGTCAGGCCCAGCATAAATGCGCTGAAAAACAGTCCAATGCCTGTTCGATGATCAGTCACAACCAGCGAGTTCAAGAAACCGGACTACATACCAACAACTGCAACAATGATGCCCTGTTATCAACGCCATTGCAATCTGATAAATCTGCATCGCGGCTCACCGACGCCATATCCTGCGCCCTGCGGAAGGACGGGATTGGAAGACATGCTAGTCAGGTTCTTCCTCAAGGACGAGGGAGCAAATCCGGATGCAGCGTGGTTACGGACTTCAACGAAGAAGTCGAAGACGACAGGACGAGATGTCTGGCGAAACAGGAAAGAAGCCACTCCAATCCCTTTATACCCAAAGAAGTTGGAGTCAAATAGCAGAGCGCCAGATCAATTCCGTCTGGCTTTCGGCTGTCCGTCATCCCTCGCCCAAGATACGCGGCGCCCCACTTATCTGAGGGCTTGAACGCGAAGCATGATAAGCGGTGCTTGGGAACGCAATCGCGTCCCTGAAGGTCGGCGCTACAGCGTATATGTCCCCACGCGACTCTCATCGAAAGATAAGTTCGGCGCATCAGTATTGAGCGGACCTGGTCTCGTACCAAAGCCTCTTCACTCACACCCCACCACCGCAGTACAGACGCCTCGGGGTAGTCTGAGTGAAGAGATCTGGTTACGAGACCACATTGAAAACTGATCCGGTGAACATGGAACAGATACCTCAGTGAGGGTGCTCTCCAGATAGTTAGCCTTACGGATGGGGCGCGATAGATAACCTCTTCTGGTACCAAGACTGCTGAGTGAAGTTGAGCCGGCGTAATATATTTGGACAAGCTCCGCTATTGTCCCTGACGGTCAAAGTTCTAAGTTCATCTGGACCATATCATACCCTGTCGTATCCGGCGACAAAACGAGTTCCTTCAAGCTGGATCACAACCGTCATCTTTCGGTGTTGAGTGCTCGTTCCGTTCCTGCATAAGGGAAACCTGGATTTGGCGCGCCCGAGCGGACAAAAGTATATTGTGCTCGAGATAACGAGAATGACGGTTTATGCTCACCTAGTTAGGTGTTAAAATCGGATAGCGCATTGATTTCGGCACGTTTCTGTGTATATATGCACCTCAAAAAGGATTATTCGCCTATGGTCGTTGATTATGCTTATGCTTTGATTGACACGACGCATTTCGGCATGTTCCGATCTGTCACATGAGTCACGCAGGCGCGCTTGCACCACTATCTCCATTCCGAGCCATTCCGTCGGCCATGTATCCTGCTAGAGCACCCTTCACACGCAAACGGGTGATGCCGCTCAACTGGCAGAGCAAAAGCGGCCCTGTCTCATGTTTCTGAGCCATGTACAGTGCATGACCTGGGGTTTCTCGATGCTGCATCTTTGAGGCATCACCACCCAGCACTATGAGAGAGACCGACATTGGATCCGGGCCATTCACGGATGCTGCAGGAGAGGCAGACACTGCGAACATGCCTGTATTGTTCAGGAGGATGTGTAACTACACTAGCGGCCAGCAGAAAACCATCAGACCATTCTATTTTACAGAACATCCAGATCTCAACCATGCACAGTGTCCTTGATGTGCATGTTCCACCGCCACTGTCATTCTGCTGCCTGGTCTATCATGTCATTTTGGGCTGGTAGAGGGGAAGTACTGAGAGAGGAATCGAGGAGGTGGGCTCTGCGCAGTGAACACCTGGGCACTTGTAGGCACGGAGGTGAGAGGAAATGAAGGAATATATTTGGTGGCGCAGCCTGAGCACAAGCGCGCGTCATAAACACAAGTCTTAACTGTAAGCGCAAGCCGCTTACATCAGGTGCCAAAGCGTACGCCACAACGCGAAAGCACAAACGAGCCGATTCTAATCAAAATAGTCCAAATCTTAAGCTCACATAATTTTGTCCGCTGGCGCCCCTCATACCTGGACATGACGATGTTGTCTGCCTACGATTGCAACCTTCGACAAGACGCATGAACCATTGAAAGGTGTAGCACAGAGAGTAGTAGCTTTGGCTGAGGTGAAGAAGGCCACGACCATTTGCGACTTATCGACATGAAGAATAACATACAACCAGAAAACAAAATATATAGACTACGTACAAGTCCATTAGGATAGCTTTGAGAGATGCCCAATCAATGGTTATGTATCACACCATCAATTCCCGCGGTTAGAGTCGATCGCTGCCCTCACCGTCGGTCGAGATAGTACCGTTCAGTTCGTCTGCGCCTCGTCGTTCTGACGAACGGCCAAAACATGACACTACCTATCCGGATCGCTCTATTGTTATGTGATACGCCAATCCCTGCAGTGCAATCCACAGACGGAGACTATACGGCGATCTTCAACACGCTCTTGCGGAACTCTCTTCCACTAGGTTCCGGTACAGACTACATCCTAGATTCTTACGATGTTCGCAACAAACAGGAATATCCACGGAACGTCGACGATTACCAGGCAATTATTCTGACTGGATCTGGTCTGTCTCCGTGAAGAACTCTCTGAAGTGCTGCTCATCGACATTGCCCGCTAGCCGCTTCGGCGTACGAGAATGTGGATTGGATCAACCGCTTGATAGATTATGTACACGATATTGCTCTGAACAAGCCTTATATCAAACTGATTGGTGAGTATTCTTTACCTCATGACATTGACAGATCCGACCCGCACGCGACAGCAGAGTACTGTCCATAATCTGCGTGTGCCCCCATCCTGGGCACAGAGCAGAGCTGAACGTGCGGGTTATATGTGGACTCGTGCCAAGGCACCTGGATCATCGAGCGGACACTTCGTAGGAAGGACCTTTCTCGATCCTCGTCATATGTTATCATACGACGCCGTGGTGCTATTCGCGATCCGAAAGCTAGGGTGTACCAACTGATCACAGATCTAGTGTACACGCATGACACCACAGGTCATTGGTCTGGAATACATCCATAAATTACCTCCATCCGCTCATTCAGCCCACGGAGTCCAAGGACCGGGTCAATCATGTCTTGTGATGACGAGCTGAAAGACCTCTTGGAGTGCCACTTCCCTGCATGAATGTGTGTGACAAATATCTGGAGCTCCCCGCTTGTTATCAATGGGAAGATTATTATCAATTGCAAAACAACTATTGGCGACTCTGATCAGTACCAAGCTACCGTGAACCTTCATATCTTCATGCAAGACAGAAATCACCGGTGGCATCTGTCCTACATGAATATGATGAAGGTCCTTGGACGGGGCAACACAGCGACAAAGCGAGACAATCTGCATGCCGGATGGCTCGTGCAGCCTTGGGCAGAATCCACCCTTCTCATGGTCCTACCTTAAATTGCCAATTCCTTTGCTCATCGTGCGACGCACAGGAATTTGCTTTGGCCACCAGATCATCGCTCGAGCGATGGGAGGCGAATGCGTACCGAACGGGGGCAAATGGGAAGTCGGCGTAACGGAAATTGCGCTCACCGACATCGGCAAGACTCTTCTCGGTGTACCCACGCTCGTGCGTCCATGCAATCCCTTCCAGATCGATCCGTTTTGACACAATGCCGCCACGTACCCAGAACATCCAGCAGATGCACCGCGACCATGTCCCCGCCGTCCCGCCCTCGTTCCACCTCCTCGGCTCGACGCCCGTGTCGCCCAACCAGGGCATGGTCCGTTTCGCCAGCGGCACCAGTGTAGACCATCCCATGCCACAGGACGTGCAGATCTTCACAGTGCAGGGACACCCAGAATTCACACAGCGCATATCGGAGAAGATCGTCGAGGCGCGCGAGCGGAAGGGCGTGATGGGCAAGGATATCGCGGAGGACGCACGGAAGCGGGCGGAGTGGCGGAACGACGGCGTGGGCGTAATAGGGAAGGTCATGTGGGAGATTATGGGTGTTGGTGCGGGACAGGCGGGTGCTTCGACCTGAGACTATCACTACAGCGTGTGTGATTTGTAGATATCGGTGAGCACGCATTGTATGCGCATACATATCATGTTACTAACGTTCATTACCCGGGCCTAGGAGACTCGAATAGTCATGTCTGTGCCGCATTAGCTGTGCTGATTCGCAGGACTGCCACTCAGCAGACCTCTGCAGCGTGCCATAATGAGCTCGTTTCCGGAAGTTCGTTCCTCGCGGACGCCTGTATGTCTAGCGCCATGCTGACATGAGCCGCTCCTGCCGCACTTACGAGGTTGCGCCACGCCTACCCGCGAGGCTATGCCATTTACATATCGGTAGCGGAACTACGTGCCTGAAAATTCCATCGATACAGGGTCTACTTCTCGTACACCTCTAGCGAGGATGCAAAACTCAGAGCAAAACAGCAAAAAAAGACGTCGACTAGGCTACACTGTGCAAGTCCGTGCCAACGCAATACGATCCGCGCCCGTCGGGCGGGTGGTATTCAACTCATATACAAGCAGCGAGAACAGGCACGACGTCAGTAGCGGTAGCCGCATGAACGACCAAACGATAGGATCCGCCGCGCAAAAGGATAAGGAAGTTCGAAATGAACAGGCCGGGGGCAAATATACGTGATAGGGGCAAAAGCAGTGGAACGCAGGGTCAGCATGAAAGAAGGGCAGGAGAAGCGAGGACGGGATGAAGACACGGCAGGGATGTGACAAGAAGCGCTCCTGGTGTGCTTAACCGGCACTTATCTATGGAGTACCCTCATCCCATGACGCTGGGGTAACTGATGCTTTCGCTGAGATACTCGTTTCCGGGATTGTATGTAAAACCGCGGAACTGGTCCTGGACCGTTTCCGATAGTGGCGTAGCATCGACGTGCGAGTCTTGCGCTTGTTCCGCGGTGAATTCGGAGTCAAAGTTGGCGGTATCAAGGACAGAGTCCTACATGAGTGTGAGAGATGGGTTTGACAGTATAGCGAAGTAATGCTCGGAACGTACTACACTGGGCTTGAACGGCGGAGTAATCTTCTTCGCCATTAACCTGCGAATGGACACCGGTGAGAAACATGGCTTCGTTCAATAGTGATATGCGTACCGATTCCAGTCAATGTGCTTGGAGAAGAACGGATGACGCTTGATGTCTTCCGCACCATTGGCTCCAAGCCGATGCTTCGGGTTGCGGTGAAGCAAACCAATCATGACGTGCCTGGCATCGCTCGACATGTCTGGAGGGAAGAGGAGAGGATCCGAGAGAATGCGTTGGTACATGACATTCACATTCTCGTCGTAGAATGGTGGCAGACCAGTCTAACGACAGGTGAATTATCGTCCAGGAGGATACGCATAGAGCCATACCATCATCTCATACAGCAGCACACCAAGCGTCCACCAATCAACCGTCTTCGTGTATCCCTGGCTTTCCAGAAGCTCAGGTGCGATGTATTCTGGTGTACCGCAAAAGGCTGAAACGGCCAAGTCAGATAGCATATATCCCAACACTAGCGGACAGCGTACTATTCGTCTTCTCCGTCTCAGACATGTTGAGCTTGCACAGCCCGAAATCACATAAGGCAATGTGACCAGTGTAGTCCAAAAGAATGTTCTCCGGCTTCAAGTCCCTAGAGGCAAGATGAGCCCACTGAGATCAGGGTACAGAATCGGGAAAGGCGTACCGGTAGACGACATTGAAACTATGCAGGTGCTCCAAGGCACACAACAGTTCAGCAGCATAGAATCGACTGCGGTTCTCATCAAATTTGCCCTCACGCTGCAGGTGATAGAACAGCTCGCCACCGTTCACTGACCGGTAGCCAGCGCGATGAGCCTCGATAAAATGAACAAAGCCTCAAAATCACTCACCGAACGACATCACCAAGTACAGCTTGTCCGGGCTCTGGAACGAGAATTTGAGCGGCACAATGAAAGGGTTGTTCACCAGTGCCAGCACCGTCCTTTCCGCCAAAATGTGCGTGATCTCGCCTGGTCTCTGCGCAATATTCGCCTTACGGATAGTCTTGAGGGCATATATCCGCTGCGTGTCTTTCTTCCGAACTTGCATGACCTTCCCGAAGCTGCCTTTGCCAATCACCTTGAGCAGGTCGAATTGCTCGATCGTGAGCGACTCGTGCCGTGCGGGCTTGAAGTCGATCTTCAGGTGGAACGAGCCCGAGCCTGCCGATGCCGTGTACCATTGGTCGGAGGCACGCTGCGGAAGGGTGTGTGAAGACAAGGGAGAACGAGACTCTGATATTGACGCACGTGTCCGTCCAGCGTCGGAGTGAGGTCCACGCGCGCCATGAGTAAGTCATTGCCCATATCGCCCTGCCCGGGCACGCACCGCGCCGTACGCAGGTACGCCGAGACAGATATGTTGGACATGCGAGAGACGTCGCTGGAGCGCACATCAGCTGCATCCGCCTAACTAGGAAGCAGACACGCACAAATCGGCCTTATAGTTCCACTCCGGCTTCGACAGATCTCCGCCGAGAGCATCGATTAGCACCTCGTTCTTATCGAACTCGAGCACGACGTATGGGAGCCACCAGTACCGCCGGCGTTGCATGCTCTCGCGGTTGCTGCGCTGCGGGGGTGGGGCAGATTGGATGGCGTTCTGGATGATGTCGGGCACGAGGATACCAGGTGGCAGGGCCAATCCGCGCCCTGATCGCCATGCGTCAATTGACATGGCTGCAAACCGCATGTGGGGGACAACGTACCTGAGAATATCCGAATGGTGAGCAGACCCTGACGCAGGTTCGACTCTTGCACATCCGGCGGCTTAGGGGTAACAGAACGCGAGGGCATAGGCGTCACAGAGCGAGAGACGACGCCATCCTGCTTGACGTCTTTTGACTCTGCGAAGCTACGTCAACTACGCCAAGGAGAGCATAAAATCCACCGCGCACTCTTCGAACCCAGTTTCCAGGACATGGTCGAAATGGACAGATGGTTGACGGGCGGCGACGGCGGTGCGCGCGACTAAATACGGGCGCTATCGGTCACTGCTGGTGAGAGTGTGAGATTTAAAACGGGCTAACCTGGCTGATCTTATCGCCCTCCTAAGTTCCTACAGTGGACGTCCCGACCAATACACTGACAAAAGACTACGCGGCGGCTCCTGCCAGCGTTCACTGCGCAACCAACTCAGCAACCGTTCCGCATGATACATAGGAGAAGTCCGCACCGGATAAATTGATGGATGAGTCCGTCCCGCCTGAAGGATACTTGTCTTCAGCACTCTCCTCGACGTGCAAACGTGAGCGTTCGATGAATGCCAGAATGCAGACGAGGTGGAGGGAAAGCTGAGAATGAGTACGCAGCCGACAACGCTGGTAATGTCAAAGAATAGGCGTCTATCGTTCCTGGAAAGGCGATTGATCACGTGATACTCGCACGTGATCGCGTCGGTACAATACACAAAGATTTAAAAATGAATCTCTGGTCCGATGAACGTCTTGGGAACATCTACCGAATTCTCTGCGGCAGATGGATGCATTTCTCAGAAGGTCTCTCCGATGTCCGATGCATCATCCTAAAACATATGCATGTTTTAATAAAAATTCAAGCAAGCGCATTGGGCGCGTCTTTCAAATGTCATCGGGTTTTCTAACCGATATCGCAGTTCGGGCGGATCGAGGATTCAAAAATTCATCGGGCCCTCTGCTACGAGATGTAGAGCCGATGGAACAGGCAAATGTTTGTTGTGATACATGCGCAAGATGGATGTGTGTTGCGTGAATCAGAGAAGGATCCTTCCATAATAGCAATCGCATCAACACTTGAAACGCTCACCGAGCCACGTCATTATTCATAGGCTTTTCTGTCATCATCTCCTGTTGTGCTGAATACAACGATGACTCAACAACAATACAAATCTTATGCGATCCCAAACTCGGTGCTGATAGACAAGCTAGCTTTACAAAAACATCCTGAAGGAGGTGATGTCGTTCGACCGGCAGTGATTATCTGCGTGACGAACTGTATTTTGCGATATGTGCAGGCTATTTTGCGGAGACGGATCGTCAAACGGAACAGATTCCTTCGCCTTTTGCAGGTGAGACAATCGCCCCGAGTTGGAGCCATAACCTGAGGCACACTCATCGATCATTGTACTGGTACTGATGGGGACGATTCGCCCTAGATGGCGCACTTCGCTCCTTGGCGACAAGTATCTATTACCTTCTTACGCCGGATGAACCAAATGGTGTCTTTCACATGAACAGGTCCGCGGTAAGTCCATACCACTTGTAGTACTTATATGCGCCACTTACTCAGCCAATTGATATTTGCCACAACGATGCAACAGACTATGCATGTTCTGCACCAAGGCCGTGCGGAGTACATCCTGATCGCACCGGGTAGTCTTCCTCTCGTTGAACGGAAGGTATCATCATGAACGATCGACACCTCAGATCATCCACTGAACCGTTATCTGGCTTTTAGGTGATGGGCCCGAATATCCACGCAGGCGAGGTCCTCCAGCTACTCGTTCCCTCTGGTATCTGGAAGATGTCCCGCCTCTTACCGGCCGACCTTTCGCCCACATCCTCCACAACGCAGGACGCAGCAGTCGCCCGAGAGCACACGGGGTGCCTCATCACCGAAGTCGTCTTCCCCGGTTTCGCTTGGGAGGATCATGGCTTCCTAACTCGCGCTGACCTCGAAGCGCTCTGGGGAGGCAGCCCAGGAGCCGAGGAGTGGGTGGGATATGTCAAACGTTAGGATTGAGTATATGAACGTGCGTGTTTGAACGCTGATGGATGAGATGAGGGAGGTCACGCAAAATGAAGCGGGGTGGTGACTTGGTGGATTTCAATATGGCCTAATCGATGTGACAGAGTATGGTTGAATGAGATGATTGAAGATGACAAGACCTTCAAAACGGGATGATGAGCGGTTCATGGTCAAACAAAACGGTTCTTCGTGAGATTCGAGCACCATTGACGTTCTCTTTGCACCAGCATCATCATACCGTTTAACATATCGTGCTCAGGTATGCACTGTCTCTCCTTTGCTTGGTTGTGTTTTAAAGTAGTAGAATGTGTCACCGCTCCTCTCGACTCGACGGAACATCAGGGCTTTGGCAGATGCAAGATCACAGCACCTCCGACAAGGTAAGTCTATTACATTGTATTATGCTGGGCTGCATTGGGTCTTCAACTATTGTGTAATTCGGCAGAGGTCGGCTGTCAAGAATGCACGCTGCACTTGTGCAATTTTGTTCGTAGCAGCAGCCTCCATGTTCCTCCACCAATTGTCGCCCTGGATTACCGCAGACTCTGGACATTCTGTCAAAATTGTACAAACCAGGATATACGATGCTCCAGTAACAAAGTATGTGGTGTGCTCTAGGTTCCTCGACGAACCAGGATAAGACTTGACAATCTTATAAGGTGCCATAAAGCTCTAGTCGTCTTAAAACGCGCAGTCTGGTCTGCACTGTCCCGGCATCCTCACCTGATGTGCAAAGGCGATCTTGTGTGGTGGTTCTTCAGGACACTCAGCCCTCTGACGTGGGCAGCATGACCTGCGTATCTGCGTATCAACAGCAACTAGAATCCGGCTAAATTATGAGGACTGAGCGACGGACCTCCACACCATGGCCAGGCCACCGGGGAATGAAATGTATTTTCATCACGCGCCAGCTGATGAGATCCCAATCTAATCGGGCGGTGGGCGTCTTGACCTCGCTCCGCTGCAGCTGCAGCTGGAATCCGCCCTTGGATCTGCAAGAAGCGGGAACATTTCCAATGGCATGATTGCTTGCATCAGCTCGTATGTCCTCAACTAAATTTTGTGAAGCGCAGTCGCACCCAAGCTCTCCCCTGATGTCACAGCAGACATGTTCTCGATCATAGGTCATCCCACCGACGCTTATGGCTCGGCCTCCGCCGCTCATAACGTTTCCTCCAAACGTTTACATCACCACGCGATTCGGCCTTCGCGATGCCATGCCCCGCAAGGCCCATCTGGCCATTCAAGATCAATCATATGATCTAGCGCCCATGTGCCTTCTATATAACATCATCGTCATGCGGGGACCAAGGACTCCACCACCACCCTTTTCCTTGATACCACTGCATCAACATGTGCGATCTAATGCTCCTCCAGCGCGGCGCAGCCTAACGCTGATTTTGCCCCGACAGGTTCCGCGTAGCGACCGCCCGCTCGCTCTCGGCCGCTGCATCGGCCCTTCCGAAATTAGCCGCGTCCCCCCTCGTACGCTCTCCTCCTGTCCCCTGAAGGTCGCATCCTCATCTCGTTTACTGTTCTCCTCAGCGTCAACAACTGATACGCACCATGACTACGATGAAGGCACTCGTGTACGAGGGGAAGAACAAGTATAGCGTCCTCGAGCGCCCAAAGCCTGCATTATCTGAAGAGACGGACGCCATCGTGAAGGTCTCAAAGACTACCATCTGCGGTGCGTGCCTTTACTGTCGTGTTCATCCTGCTCTGGCTTATCACGGTTCCCAGGGACTGACCTCCACATCCTCAAGGGCGACGTCCCATCTATACCCCATGGACGTGTCCTCGGGCACGAAGGACTCGGCACAATCGAGTCGGTGGGTACCGGCGTCAGCGCCTTCGCCCCAGGCGACCGCGTCATCATCTCCTGCATCACCGCTTGCGGGACCTGCCCGTACTGCCGGAAAGGCATGCCCTCGCACTGCACGACCGGCGGCTGGACGCTCGGAAACACCATCGACGGCACCCAAGCCGAGTACGTGCGCATTCCGCACGCAGACGCTTCGCTCTACCGCATCCCCCGCGGCGTGGACGAAGATGCGCTCGTCATGATCAGCGACATCCTCCCCACCTCCCTCGAATGCGGCACGCTGAATGGCCAGGTAAAGCCTGGCTCGACCGTCGCCGTCGTCGGCGCGGGACCCGTGGGCCTCTCGGCGGTCATGACCGCGCAGCTGTTCTCTCCGTCAACGCTCATCAGCATCGACTTGGACAAGAACCGGCTCGAGGTCGCGAAGAAGCTTGGCGCGACGCATACGGTGGTGTCGGGCCCGGACGCGGTTCAGGAGGTGATGGAGATCACCGGCGGGATGGGCGTCGATACTGCGATCGAGGCGGTGGGAATGAAGCCGACGTTCGAGCTGTGCGAGGAGATCATCGGCGTCGGCGGCCATATTGCGAACATCGGTGTGCACGGAGGCGTCGTTGACCTGCACATGGAGAAATTGTGGGATCGCAACATTGGTACGTGGGGCAACAGTTCACCGTCGGCGTCTGACACTGATAATTGGTTTTGCTCAGGCATCACAACGCGCTTGGTTGACGCGGTGACGTCGCCGATGCTCATCCGGCTGCTCGAGGGCGGTAAGCTGAACGCGGGCGCGCTCATCACGCACAGATACAAGTTCAGCGAGATGGAGCAGGCCTACGATGCCTTCGCCGCTGCGTCCCAGAACAAGGCGTTGAAGGTGATCATCAACATTGATTGAGTATACCGCCCGGAAGGGCTGGCAGTGTAAAAATTGTCGATAATTTGGACTTGCGCACGCACAACTGTTGTAATTATATTGTTTGTACAAGATATGATCGCACGTCTGAAAGCAGTCCGTTGCTGACGGCACCTCATTGATCAAGTTCGCATTGGCATGGAAGTCGCAAAGTGGGTTACGCAGTACGACGCGTGCGCGTGAGGGAGTGAGTTCAACCCCATGCCACACGTTTCGACAAGATAAAATACCTGTATAGCGATTCATAAATATCGATAATTTTTATTCAGGTCGTGATGCGTCCATTCCGAAACCGTGAGTCCGTGAGTCCGTGAGGTAAGTGACCTTGCCGCAATCCAGATCTCTACGCCCGTATGCAAAGCCATCCTCTCCTCCAGCTCCATCAATTCTCAGCCATACAAGTCCAATCCAACGTCCAAATCAGACAATCCCCATATGGTCCTTCGCCCAGTTCGCGAAGAAAGCCTCCTCCGCAGCCGCCCCAGGCGTCAACATGCATCGCAATTCAAGCTGCTCCTCAGGGACACCCGGCTCCTCGTAAGTCGAACGCCAAGCATCAGCCCGGTTGCGAAGAGCCATCCAACTATCGAAATTATCGGAATTGACGGGCCCGAGCTCTTCCTTGCTGATACCGGCGCACCAGATATCGTACGTCCTGAACAAAGGATTGGGGTCCTCACCCGTGTTCGGTCTCACGACCACGACCGACTCGTCCGCGTTTAGAGCAAAGACAACACGTATGACGGGAACCGGTGCAAGGACAGACCCGTCGGCTCCTCGATGAATCCCGTCGTCTTCCTCTTCAAACATCTCGAGCTTCGTCGGATCCATAGCATCGTGCAAGCTCCAATCTGGTTCGTCTGCGTACCGTGGACCGAGCGTGTCTTGGCACATGAAGATACCGACATTGCCGATGTGCATCGAGGAGCCAAACGCACAAAACCCGAACAAGCAGTCGACGCCAGGCTCAGACGAACCCGGCAAGATGGCCGCTCCCCGAGCCATCGAACGGATGATGAATCTGCGCCTGATCATCCTCCCTTGATGGACCTGCATGAAATGGTTGAAATGAACGACGGATCCTTCAATATGCTTCCGCAAGGTGTGTGTCATCCCGTCGTCGCGTGAGGGGCGAGCGTCCAGGATTGTGTTAGCCGAGCGCGGGAAGAGTTGTTGGATGAACTCGGTCATAGAGAATATACGACCACTTTTACCACTGGCAGGCCGTCCGTCCAGCCTTGAGGGTCCGACGGCAAGGTCGCGGGCCATGGTTAGGAGCAACAGGACGATCAGTTCTCCGCGATAGCCTTGATGAATGCGAAGACCTTGCAAGGAGCGTAGCAAAGCTGCAACAGGGTTGAAATGTTGCATGACTTTGTAGGCGGCTTCCGCAAACATCGGCTCAGATGCTGAAGCGGTCTTCATGCTCTTGAAGTTGTTGTCGATGTTGAGACAGATGCGCAAATGCGATGCTACTTGTTCTTGTTCTTCCTTCATGATGTATCGTGTGGACATGAAGTCCAACGCGAGGCGCTGAGATAGACATGCAAACTTCTGAGCGTCGGTAAGCTCTTTGTCCAATTTTCTATTCGGGTCATTGTGCGTGAGAAGGTCCGACATATTGCGGTTTATGAGCTTGTCAACTGCAAATCCTATCAGACCTTCCCTTACTGCAGTATCGCCTGACTTGTAGCGGGAGCCAAGACTTCGAACCATAAGGTCAACAATCATATGCGTGAATGCTTCGTGCAGTTTGAGCGCTTACAGAGGACGGCCCAACCCGCTCATATATTCTTCGTCGACGACACTTTCCAACCTCCAGCTTTCATCAGGATCAAACATCCTGGCAAAGTGATCAAAGCCTAGGTCCGAATAGGGAGAAACCATATGCCATATGCCATTCTTGATTCTCGACCCGTTGTCGATAGCGCTTGAGGGTGAGAACTGGTCGCCCTTGCCGCTCGTAGAAACAAAGAGCGAGAACAACGGCATGCTGTTCATGCCGCGCAAGGCCCGCCGCACCTCTTCCAAGCGCGACCATTCGTTCGTAGTTCCCTCATGGTCGGAGACCTGCAGTGATTATGCCTCGTCGAATGCTAGCACAATTCGCGGGGTCTGCTTCTGATCGACGATTTTAGCTCTTCTCTTCCTCATAGGATCAGACTGTATATCCAACAAGGGTGACTAGATCAGCTAGAGGTCACACACAAGTTCTTCCGCACGGACCTCGCCAGCTGTCTTCGGCGCTAGGGATAAGAATCCTGTACCGCTACCACCTACTGCGGCAGGCTTCTCCTTCTGCTTGCCACTCGATCTCGAGCGATCGAGCGCATGCAATAGTCGCCCACATGCAACGGAAGGCCCGAATTCTTTAACGTGGCGCGAATGACCGGGAGACTTGGTAGTAATGAATTTGTTATTCATGTCGTCCCCTCCTTTCAAGATCTGGACGAAGTCAATATAACGGCGCCAGCGCGTGCTCGCGGGATTATGATCTCACGTACTTTAGTAGCCTCGTCTATGACTTCCCGATAGAATGTATTCCGATATTCGTTGTGACTGGACATTGTCTGGCCGTTGCACATAAGTCCCCTGAAAGCTGCTGCTATCCCCTCGTCGGTGTAATCATCAAAGTGCCCATCCAGTTCCTCGATGCGGCGCGCTGCGATGAACATCAACGCTTTAAGGAATGCGCATATACGCGCGAAAAAGGCTTTGACGGTCGAATTTTGTGTTTCCATCCGATACGGCGGCGCCGTCAAGAAATCTCGCATGTCCTCGTCTGCGGCAGGGAAGCCTGTGAAGTTACATGAAACGGCGATAATAGCTGAGCGAATGGTGAACACTATTCGCTTGACACACCTATGCTTTCTGGAGGACGGAGATTGATAGGGATGAGAAAGTGAGTCTTTGCGAGCTCATCCACGGTCCTTGATTTCCCCATTCCCGAAGATTGGACGATTGATGCGTAGTTTGCATAAATCGAGGATACAGAGGAAAGTGAGTGAGGACCGTAGTGTCGGACAATGTGATTCCACAGATTTCCAGCGGCGTCACCGTAAAATTCGCATTGCCACGATTGTTCTGCCGCTGTAACACGTATGAGTAAAGATAGCACAGCAGATCATGCAGTAAAGGCTCATACCTTTCTCCTGAAGGGACATATGGACCTGTGCCTGCTCTGACGGCTGCCCGACCGACTCGCTTTGAGCGATAGCTGTTTGCCGCTGCACGGGGAATTGTGTATTGAAACATGTAGGAGACTACTTACCTAAGTTGCAAACCGCGCTCCAATCTCGCATTCTGTAGGCATTTCGACACATTTCCTGGAGAATCGCACGAAAATGATCGTCTACCCAAGATGAGCCTGAAGGCGTTCCTTTATCTTGTCCCCCGATTCTTCAATGACATCCTTGCTCTCTAAAGTCGATTCCTCGATAGCACCCTCAATGACAGGTTTCAATGCGTGCAACAGATAAACCAACTGAACAGCCCAAAACATGGTCCTACTGACATCCATCGATGTCATGAATATATCGAATTCAGATTGCGAAAAGGCGTCCTCGACGGCCCTATGCAGGTCTGGATTCTTCTCGATCCACTCAGCATCAGAGATTGGAAGGAGATTGCAGATGAGCACAGGCCTGAGGTTTGATGACAGGTCCTGGGATTGACTATAGTTGGATGATGGTCCAGCCGACACCTCAGTAGGGGTGCTGGGTATGGAGGGCGTCGACGGAGGTGATACGATGTGCGAAGCTTGGCTGTCACCTTGATGCGAATGCGCAAGCCCTGACGGATGACGCGAGGGACCCATGCGAAGTGACAATCGAGAAGTGGGCAACTCGTAAAATGATACGGCGACTGGGAGGTCTACAGGTGACAACAAGCCATGCGGGCGGGGCTTTTGCTCTCGCGCTCGATAGATGTGTACCTGTAGTGCATACGGAGATGAACTCGTCTCGTTCAAGCACTCTAGAGCAGGATCCAGCTGGACGCGCTTCGTCGGGCGTCCTCCCATCCGTGGAGGGGGAATTGCAGATCGTTTTCTTGAAGCTTCTTTGAATGCCTGCGACCTTGGTGTGGGAGGCATCTTGGATGGTGAAAGTAGAGAGCGAAGAGACGTCTACCCCTTTCTACCTGCATCAACGTCAACTTTCAAGCTGAGTCCCAAGTCTGCCGTTTCAGCCACGTGATCGTGCAGTGGCACCCCCCACCAAGTTCAAGGTGACGGCCTGATCCGCGAACATCTGTCATTTGGTATATATACTAGCCAGCGGTGATCAATGCATACTCACAAGGGAAATCACCAGATTGCAACATGTGGGACTTGTGTTTTGACTTGCCACCAGCATTCCTGTCCTTGCTGCTCTTCTTGACTCAGACCGGGCATGACCTGCGGGAAACTGATTTACCCTCTAGACTAGTATGCTCAAAACGAGCTTTACTAAAAATGGCTCTGCGTTAATGGTTGGAATGGATGTGAAGCTGGAAACCAGATGGACTCAGAAAAGTGCATAAGGCTTTTTAATTGAGAAATGATGTGAGTATGTTCTGCTGGGAGCTCACGGTGCGCACACGATATATTATGCTCAAGCAATTCAACTCCCGACAAACTCGTGGCGAGACGCGTCTGCGTGGGTCATGTGATCGCGTGCGATGGTAATCAGGAGGGGAACCTCAACTTAACCTCCACTCCCACCAACCTCTGCTTGCGATCTCCTGAAATTGTATGAAATTCTCCAGATGATCCCAATATTCTATGACCTTGTCTCAGCAAGTGAGGTACCGCGTGCACATGAGATTGAAACGGCAGGTAGAAATGTCTTTGGAGCACGGTCCGTCTGATATTGACCTGTCGTCCAGGATATCCAGCGGATGAAGCTGCCAGTCTTGAAGCTTTTCGGTGAGCTCAGCATCTCTCCCAATACTTCCAGCTACAAAAACGTGAGCAGATACCGTCAGGCGAACGCGCCAGATCTCTTCCTCGGTGCATATCTCCTTGACGAATCAGGCACTGGCCGTACGCTCGTAGGCTATGTCTGCTCAACACTCTCGCCGGATGGGTCTCTTTCACATGATTCTATGTCGAAACACGTCCTCGGTGCATCTTCCGCATGTATCCACTCGGTCTGCGTTGCGCCCGAGCACCGCAGGAAGGGCGTCGCGCTCGGCCTCCTCAAGGAGTACCTCACACGGCTCGAAAATGCAGTGGGGGAAGGTTCGCCTTACCAGCGCGTGCTCCTAATTACGCATGAAGACCTGCGAGGACTGTACGAGAAGGCAGGCTTCGAGTGGCTAGGCAGGAGTGCAGTGGTGCATGGTGCACGGCCTTGGTTCGAGATGCGGAGGATTCTTTCACCCTCGCTCTCTTCCGTTGATCTTGTCCAGCCTCCGACAATTCCTGCAGGCCTGTGGGAAGCGCTGCAACAGTCGACCAACTCACGTAGCAGGCCGATCGGACTCGCACTCACGGCATTCCCGAACGGCGTGCAGGACGTAGTGACAGATAACGGGCAGGGCACTCTGGCGAACAATTCTGACCTGCTGTGCCCACGTGCTGGCTGTGGAAGCATCATATTGAAGAAGGGCGTGGCCTCTTTGGTGGAGCGTGCGAGCGTGCAGCTCGAGTCCCCCGAAAGCGCAGCGCACAGCCCGCTTGCATCCTTACCGCCTCCGCCGGAGACGATGAACTGGTGGCTGGTTAGGCCGAATGCTATGGCATTTGAGAATGTAGGGTTTTCGAAAGCTGTTGTGGACGAAGGTATGTGGCGTTCATGTCGATAGCGTGTCCTGCGGCTGACAGTGCTGCAGCGTCTGGCAAGAGGCTCAAATTGCTCAGCTGTGCTGATTGTGACATCGGTCCATTAGGGTGGTGTGAAGATGGAGGAAGTGAATTTTGGCTGGCGTGCAGCCGCGTAACATATCGGCAATAGTTGGAGAAGGAAAATACATATGCCCGACGATGAGTAGCCCATGAGTGAATGTACTATTGGAACGCATGAGAGCTGTTACGACTTGGAGAGCATCAGCAGATGATGGGTAGCTGTACAACATGTAATGGTTGCACAATATATAAGTCCTATCCGAGATGAAGCCATAGTTTGCAGAAGTCCGAACCGTCATGTCTTGAATATGATTATGAGAATTAGCAACACAAGGATGAGCAGGGCAATCATAACCGTTGAGCCTGCATGTTGCCGCCACGTCAGCTATCCATACACATTGCGGCCGATATCAGCTATGAGCCCTCACCATTCTCCTTGGCACCTCTCGCAACACGATCCAAGCGGCGTCGTGCCCCACTCAGCCTGCCGCCCGTCCTGTCCATCTCGATATCCAGGTCCTCTAATAGGCCGGTATGCACCTCGAGCTCGTCATTGATATGAAGCGAGATGTCTCGTTGCCGATTGACGGACTGGGAGAGTCGGTCTAGGTGGACGTCTTGCTCATCCATCATTTGTCTTTGCGCTTGAAGCATCTCTTCATGAGAGGGGTATGCAGCCTCGGGATCGTCGGTATACGGCACATAGGCTGGCTCGTCGTCCTTGATTGGCACTGGAAGCGGAGCGGCGGATACTGGCGGTGAAGGCAGGGAGGATGAGGACACCGACGCCTCTGCGCTTGTCTGCGGTGACTCTCGTGCCACAAACCTGGAGGAATACTGTCGCATAGGTTTCGTACTCCACGGGCTGAGCATCAGCAGTGCACGCACTTTGGCACGTTCGCAACGTCCGCATCCGAGCCCAGCATGTCTCTCATTCGCTCGTACTGGCTTCGTAGCAGATTGACCGCCTCCGACCTTCCGTCGTTCTGCTCCAGCTGCAGCACGCCCACATGCAACTGCTGCATGTTACGTGCGATCTGTGGGACGTGTAATGATGAGGCATTTGGGTTCGACAGTGTCTGCAATCTCTGGCGTTCGAGGAGAAGGGACAATGTCTGCGTTGACAGGGACGTTAACCGGGCGAGAGATGCCATTGCGAATTAGAGGGAAAGAAGGGAAGCGCGGTTGGAGAGGTCGCGAGGCTCACGCAGTTAGTAACGGCAGCACCGAAGTCGTGAGCCCGTCCTAAGACCGGAGCGCCGTTTTTGGCAGGTCTCCAAGAACGCAACTGCAAATACCACATCGCAGACACAGTACTAGTGAGGAAATAGGTTAGTTCTCTGCTGCATCGCTCAAGACAAGTACCCGTTCTTTGGTGCTATTTGAAGCAGTGCACTCGGTGGATCTGCTCTCCGTACAATTTACTGATGAGAATCACCCCGAAGCCTCATGCAATTGGTCCTGGTGCTATTTGAAGTAGTGCGCTCGGTGGATCTGCCCTCGAAGCAGCGTAAAACACTGATGAGAGTCACCCAATACTCTCCGAAGCCTCGAGCTTGAAACCATCACTGAACATCCGCAGTTGCCCTCTAGGCTAGTATTTCGATTCCACAAACATGAGTCTTGAACATTGAATACTTACTCTCTTGCGGCGTGTGCCAGAAATGGCTATCTCCTTTTCTAGGATGTTTGGACGTCGCCACTATTGCAGCTTGTGATGCAGACTTCACTGCATCGGAGGTTACCTGAATCCGATGACATTTTCATATTGTATGGTCGATAACACTCGGAGCTCCCGACCTTATGTCAGGCGTGCCAGACTCATGACTGGACATAGTACTGCCGGAGAGGTATCAGTTACGACGGCTCAAGCCCCATGGCGAGGATCTGCGCCGATATTCAAGGCCTCAAGGCTCGCTCAAGGCGGAACATTTCTGCTGCCGGACTCCACATGCCGCCCTGTATTGAGGGTTCGACGGAAGGACGCCACCATGATTCAATACAATGCTGTTATCATGCCAAGCAAGCCTTCCTCTCTTATCGTGAGTCCCACAATGGAGACGAGCGTATGTAGACTCGTAAATTCCTTTAGTGGGTTTTGGCCTCTTCGTTGGAATCTCTCGTCACTCAAAGCGATCTTCGATCACCGAAAGGAAGAGCCCCAGGCGTACCGGTTTCAGTAGACAAATCTGGTGCTATCCCACCTGAAAGTTCGATGAGAATATCCGCAACGTCAGCGGTGCGCCACAGATGCCACAGCGGCTCTACAGGCCATCAAATTCTGCTTTCCTTCCTGCACATAATATCGATGTATCATTCTGCGTCCATTATCACTCTCAGGATCTTCTTCGCATGCTGGTCAACCTGCTGGTGCGGCATTGTAAGATGCCTAAAGTCTCAGTTTACAATCAAAGAAATAAAGCGGAATCTGTGAGTAGCACGCCCATATGATCGAACTAAGTTGACAGTATATAAGGAATAAACTCTACGTTGTTTGTGGTAAGCCCGACCATGTTGACAAGCATATGCTGCTTCTGATCAGGATAAGATTGCTTCCCTGCTTCTCTGACTTTTCGTACCACTGCGGCGTGTCGGAGGCATGCAGGGAGCGACTGCCGGAATGCCTGTCGGTCACCGATTTCTAGTATCTCGCTACACCAGCTAGGTATAATCACAAGTCATTGACTCAATTACCACTTGATTAGGGAGAGTGAGACGTCAGGCAGCTAAACAAGTGCGCCATGCTTTATAAAGAGCACTAACGAAGCGAACCACGAACATTATCCTTTCCTCTCCACATCGTTTCCATCGCCATGTTCACTCGCAACGTCGTCCGCATTCTTCCCTTGGTCCTCGCTGCATTTTCTATGGCCGCAAATGCTGTGCCCAAGCCGGAGGAGCCATTGAATGAGGTATGCCCTCTGCATAACGAGACCCGCTCTCCGGAAATTGACATATCGTTGTGGAATCAAAGCAGCTCTTAGCGAGGCAGGATGGCTGTGGCGAGGCCTCTAGATCCGTCGCATTTTTGCGGGGTTATAGCCCCAGCGCCGAGGATCACTTCTACACGACAAACTACCTCGAGATGGAGAACGCAGTCAACAATCTGGGCTACAAGCCCGAGGGCGATGCCGGCCGTGTTTTCTCCACCCAAGTTCCAGCAACGATCCCGCTCTACCACCTGTGGAGCGCGGGACTGCAGGACAACTTCTACACCACGTCCAAGTCGGAGGCACAAAACTCAGTCGGCTCCTACACCGGCGGCACAGATACCATTGCTGCGTTCGTCTATGCTGACCAAGTCTGCGGCAGCATCCCATTCTACCGCATGTGGAGCCCTACCGCGACCGATCACTTCTACACGACGTCGAAGAGCGAGAGAGATAATGCCATCAACAACCTCGGATATGTTGATGAGGGTATCCAGTGCTACGTCCTCCCTACCGATGATTAATCTTGGGTGAGCGTTCCATCGTGATTCATTCAATATCTTGTACACCGACTGATTTGCTATTAGACAAACATTTATTCGATGCAACATGGCGTTGTTATTTCTTGATCTCCGTGATTCATTGGAGTGGGCTGCAGTACTCATGTTGGTATCTACAAGGTCCCGTCTAAATTGGCGTGTTTACTTTTTTTGAAGCCAATTACTAGTATCTGCTTGATGTTTTACAATTAGTTTGCTTCGATCTGCAATGTGAGAACTCCGCCGAAGTCTTTCATCACTTGAACCCGGCGATATAAGTAATCATTCCCCTCGTCCTCGACTCGATAACTGGATGGAGTTCCGGGTGAGTATCCAGATCTTGGCTGATGAGCGGCTCAGCAACTTGGTTTCCACTCCAAGTCACCCGCACGTTAACTACAGTTCTCTGGGGGCATCCAGGTTGGACGCTGAGTCGTATTAAGAGCTAGTCTACATACAGCAACCAGTTCTATACAACGTCTGCGAGCGACCGGGACCAAATCATGACCAACGCGTAACGGATTTCGAGCTGTGCATCATGATTGATCTATTGTAGTCGCCTGCCGCAATCGAAATGGGGGGTTCCTGGTTATACGGTTACAGTGCTTTTCTGCATTAGCAGAACACGTTTCGTGTGAATTCTGAGTTTGTTTCTTGCTGACCGATTTTGGGTCTATCACATTCATTTCTTCAACTTGAACGACACGTACGTATAGATGCTTATGATGTGGTGAAGTCAGTCAGAAATGATGACTCGACAATGCGAGCTCATCGCAACGATATCTCGATAAATACTGTAAGTAGTTGTCATTAAGCCTTGCGGATGGCAAGCTCGCACGGCGAGTCGCATAATGTAAAGGGAGGAGTGTGGGCTGCAGATACTAGAGAAATATGAGCCGTACTAATGTGTAAGTCAACTTCGAGTTCGAAAGTGGCAATTGACTGACTACCATATCGTGAAAGTGCGGCTCGATAGATCCAGAACCATGTGCATGCGCATGCTCGTCTAGCGGACCGAATAACAAGCGGCGTCATTGTCTTATGAGAATTCCGGTAACTGTGGGTTCGGCTGAGGTGATAGGACATCACAAAGAAATTGAATCATATGGTCGTTACGATGCATAAAGAAATATCGTACCGATCCTCGGCCATCATTACCATCATTGCGGCATACAAGCAACCCGCAATGTCCTGCGATGTTCATAAGAGCTGTCGATGCATACTATGCAAACGGTACTCTCAGCAACAAAGAAAGTCAGGCCCGTCAACTTCTTACATGCGGGGGGAATTGAGAAGCATGTTCCGTACGACCTCAATCTCGGCGTTATTGAGCTTTCTCAACACAGGGCCCGGGGGGGCACCCTCCAAACGAGAAACTACCCCCTGCGAACGTACGGGATCACCACAAAGAAAAACACTTACATGAACGTGTTGCAGTGACTCACGAAATCCTAAGCAGACAAGGACTCGGCCCGGTCACGCCTCCTCAATGATAGTCTGTCTTATGCTGGACAGGTCTGAGTTGCGATTACAACGTCATCGAGAAGCACCAGCTCGTACTGTACTGTAGCTCGTAGCCAGCACAGCGAGGCAGTGGCAGGCGCCGCAGTCGGACGAAATGAAACTTCCCGCACGTGACTGCGACGCGTCGGTGGCTCCAAAGAGGGTGCCTGTCAGTGGTTGGCGAGAGTTGGCGAGTGACTCAGGTTGCAGTGTAATGGATGGATGAAATGTACGAGTTGGCGGCAGTGTGTGCTATAGCGAAGTATAGCTTGTAAAATGAGTCAGTGATCACCTTAGGATCTGAAGTGCTCAGGATTAGTGACGCATATATCGAGGTGGGCCAAGCACTCGACACTTACTACTTCAGTCTGTCATAGACCAACGGTGTATGTGCGCGTGTAGGCGAGTTACGATCCTTTGCACTGTCGGTAGAGAGCAGATTTATTATTGCCAACCACTTTGTTGCAACGAATGCGGCTCAGTACACGGAACGTAAAAGATTTAAGGGATGAAAAAAATGTCTTCAACGGCTCGGTCACGTGGTTACCTTTTCAATTCGAGTGGGCGCTTTGTTTTTGTGCGGAGTCTCTCTATCTTTGCATTCAATCAGAATATGTCTCAACAACGTAAAGCTCTTTGGGAGGCCGAACTCGACGAGGACCTGCAAGATGTGGATCTCAATCTCGCAATCGGCAACTATGGGCAGATGTATGATGACGGTCAGTAAACGTGAACATATGGAGGGAATTTACGGTGACCTAGAATGCAGCGCAACCAAGGATTGACGAGGGGACTCTGCTCGCCGTGCAGCAGCAGATGGTACAGCAGGCAGCATTCGCACAGATCCCTGACGTAGTGAAACGCGTAAGTGGTCTGGCTATCTCGTCTAGTGATATGCTCACTCCAAGCAGTTCATCGTGCATTTCTATCAAGCGGTGCTGGATAACAATCTCGCGGAGATCACTGCTGCATATGAAAGCGGTTGGAACCGCCTCACAGAGAAGTTCTACTCAAAGACGGAGTGGCCTGAGGCAGAGGTGATTGCGCCGTTAGTGAACGACAGTGGGTTTGACCTGTCCTCCGTCAGTCTAGGAGCTCACTGATAGACGCATTTACAGACCCGATCTTTCTCATCCTATACCGGGAGCTCTACTATCGGCATGTCTACTCGCGTCTGCAACCCGACATCGACGACCGCTTCCACTCGTACGAGAACAGCTGCGAGCTGTTCAACTACCTTCTAAGTGCGCGATTTGGAACGCGTCTCCTGCAGCCACCTCACATTGCGCTATATAGACTCCGACGGCCCAGTCCCACTAGAGCTGCCCGAACAGTGGCTGTGGGACATCGTTGACGAGTTCATCTATCAGTATCAGTCGTTCTGTGTATGGCGCTCAAAGGTCAAGTCTCGGACGGAGGAAGAGCGTATGTTGCTCGCAGATGCGAGCCAAGTATGGAGCTCGTACAGTGTGCTGAACGTGCTGTACTCTCTCATACAAAAGTCCAAAATCAACGAGCACATCGTTGCTCAGCAGGAGGGCAAATCGGCAGAGGAGATTGCGTGCGTCGTAGGTTTCATATTCCATAGCTGACCACTTATATCGCCTGCAGAGAGATCGTCGGTGAATACGGCGTTCGCCCATTGTACCGCATGCTCGGCTACTTCAGCATCATCGGTCTGCTGCGCGTGCACAGTCTTCTCGGAGACTTCACATTGGCTTTGAAGGTGATGGAGAACGTGGAGCTGAACCAAAAGGTATGATTATCCTACAGACTGAAATCAACTTGTGCCCTAATGTTTTGCAGTCGCCCTTTACGCGTGTAACCGCATGTCATGTCACGACCTACTACTACGTTGGCTTCTGCTACATTATGCTGCGACGATACCCCGACGCGATCCGCGCGTTCGTCTCGATCCTGAACTTCATCCTCCGCATGCGGCAATATCACACTCGGAGCTATCAGTATGACCAGGTTCGTTGCGGATGATGCGCGTTTCCGATGGCTTGAATGACACTCCCTGCTTACAGATCAACAAAACTGCCGACCGGATGTATGCTCTCTTCGCGATCTGCAACGCGCTTTCGCCGATGCGATTGGATGACAACATTTCGAACATCGTCAAGGAGCGGTACGGCGAGCAGTTCTCGAAGATGTCTCGGGGGTGAGTATCCATCCACGCTCAGCGTTCAGTAACGAAATGAATTATTTGGTTCCCATCCGTAGCGAGGAAGGCATTCCGGCCTTCGAGGAGCTGTTCCTTTATGCATGCCCCAAGTTCATCTCAGCGAACCCACCGCCGTACGAGGACCCCGAACTGCTCGCGGCCTACGTCGAGGATTCCCCGGTAGAGCCGGCGCAGCGACACCTCGCGCTGTTCCTATCCGAGGTACGCGCACAGGCGCCGGTGCCGACTTTGCGCAGCTTCCTGAAGCTGTACACATCGTTGGATGCGAAGAAACTCGCCAACTTCCTCGACGCGGACGAGGAGGAGATGGTACAGCAGATGATGGTTATGAAGCAGGCGAGTCGGAGCGTGAGCCGAGTCGAGAACGAGAAGGGCCTGCTGGATGGCCAGATGATCTCTACGAGCGACTTGGATTTCGTGATCGACGAGGTAAGGGATGCTTTCTCATGCTGCGATCGTTGCATTCCTGACAGTGTCGGTAGAACATGGTCCACATCGCCGAGTCGACCGTTGGACGGCGCTTTGCGGGATGGTTTATCCGGAACACTGAACACGCGCAGCGCGTTTTTGATACGCTCCGCAACAGCCCACTTCCTGTTCCACCGAAGCCTGTTGCGCAGAAGCCTGCAGTGAACGGAACGAACGAGCCAGCGACACCGGCTGCGTCTGCTCCCCGGAATGGAGGTCAGAAGGTAGCATGGGGAGGCGTCAAGGTCGCGTAAACCAGCGGTGTCTGTGCTATGCTTTTGCTTGTCTGCTCTTGTGATTCCTGGTTCTTTATGAAGATACTGATCTACCCAAAGCCGCCTGGATGACGGAAGCGTTAACCAATGTGACATACAGTCAGCGTCCTCTTGATTTGAACTTACAGCTGCCCATTCGCTTTCGCGATTCGTTCTCGATTGTTGGACCCTAAGGCTTCACGGCGCCGGTCTCACAGACTGGTTGTTACACAATGGATTTCGCAGCATGCAATATCCATTATTTGATGCAACAACTCCGCGCTCTTCTAGTCATGCATTATCATTTATTGACCAGCTGCTCCTCTGGATATGCGATTGGGTCGAGCGTCAGGCAGAAAGAGAGCCTCCAGTAGTCGTGGGCTCAGCGCTCGATATTGAGAGTCCAACGACTGCCAGTTGTGAGCCACTTCGTTGGGGTTCAAGTGCTACTTATCGCTGACGCCAGGTACACCGATATGTTCATATGGTTACGGGGCATTGTGCTGCTTTGCGACGGTGTTCCACGTCAGATCAAATGGGAGATCCTCGGGCTCGCATTATCCAAACACTGAATCAGACATAGCGGTTTGAAGAGTACGTATGTCAAAGTGTCTCATGATAGTTCCCCCGCCTTGTTGAAATGCAGCAACTTGCATGTGCTCAGATCTCTTCCGCACCCACCCAAGAAACCTGAAATTATTGCAACTAGACATCAGCCATAGGACACGCACACGAAGGCGGGTCGCCTTTGGCAGCTGCGTGACGCATAGTGGGAATTCGTTTGGAGTCACGTATTACTACGCTTTGATGACTGACTCCGGCCGGAGGATCGGAAGGCGTGATGTAATTCAACTGACAAGGTGGGTGCATGGTGTTTTCGCAGCCGCGGCTATGCTCGCCGCGGTAATGTCCGGTTCTCATTTCTCATGCATGCATGCATGTCGTACGGTGCAGACTGCTGATATCACTTGGATTTGGTTGGACCAGAGAGAGTGCTGTCCAATCCACAAAGTGATTCACTTTGCACAACAATCGTCTCATCGCATCAGTGTACGATCGATATGAGTTGACCGGGGCAGACATCATGCGAGCGTGACACTCGCTCCGGAGGCGCTCTCCCACAGGGGTCAAATAGCATGTGCGACTGTTTTCCAGATTGGGACCCGCAATCTGGAACCGAGGATGCTCCCAAGCTGCAGCGTGTACGTGAGCGTCATATCAAATCAAGCCGTTGGTCTACGCGGCCGCACGTTGCGGTGCCGTGCCAATCGCGCCAGTGGAGACGCGAATTGACTCTTCCGCAACACATATGCCAGGCCTTTAAGTTAGCCTCGATCCACGACGTGCTTTTCCCTCCGTCGTTTGTAGGTGACCAAGACCATGTGGAACCCATTGCATCCTCGTCCTGCGCCGCCTGGGTTTGGCGAGGGTAAGGAAGTTCCAATAGGAGAAGCTTCGTGAGTGTATATCTCAACTTTCATGTGTTTCAACACCGTCCGTGCAGCGAGTGCAGAGCAGATCCTACATTCTCTGGGCAGCCTAATATCACCCTGCCGAGCGGCGCGGGATTAGATAGTGTGATCGCACCAATGATATGCTTACCATTTGCGACAGGTGGATTTCCAGACTGCTCTTCGGCTGGCTCGGTCCATTTTTGAAAGTGGGCTTCTCGCGTCCATTGCAGAAGGATGGTAAGCATCCTCTCTTAATGAATTGGCTTGATGTGTTGCTGAAGTCTACACGACCAGACCTATGGCAACTTCCTCCTGAACGACTCACAGACGCCCTCACAGATGTCGTGGAACGAGAATTTTATGCGCGATGTTCCCCGGATAAACGCCCCCGGTTTCTACGCCAAGCAGAAACGAACAAGAACGATAGACCTATTTCTGAACAGTCGACACGAATTGTCACGGTTGAAGACGAGAAGAGTATTTCCGATACGGAACCGGTCATTGATGAGAAGAAAGACGTAGATGTCGAAGCAAACACCACCCCTATCGAGGAGTTGTCGCAAGGAACGGAAACATCTGATACAGGTCACAAGTACGATGAGTCGCTGCTCAAAGCACTGCACAACGCGTACTTCAGTCTTTGGTGGACAGCTGGCTTTTTGACTCTCATCGGAAGTATGTCATTGAGTGTTCGCTGCCATACATACGTAAAAGCTCGCTCATCACCTACTTGTTAGCCATGCTAAACACTACAAGCCCGCTCGTGAACCAAGTGATTCTGACATGGCTCGAAGACGTGTATATCTACTGGAAGCTCCCTGAATCCGAGCGTGTAGTGATCGACAAACCCAAGGGCATCGGATATGGAATTGGACTTGCGTTCGCGCTATTTGTCATGCAAGGTAAGTTCGCCTTCATCTACCATGATCGGTCTGTTGAACACCATCGTAATCAGAGGCCTCCAGTCTGGTAATGCATTCTCTCATCGTGTACGATTCGTACTGATACCTCGCTCGACGTGCAGATGACGTGTCACTACTCGCTGAGTAAGTGTTTGATGTTTGATTTTCCTTCGATGTCTCACAACATTCTGACTGGCATCAGAATCGATGGAGGTCGGAATGCTCATGCGCACGAGTGTAAGTTCTGAATGACGTGGCTTCTACTTCATTTAATGTTTCTTTAGATTATTGGCACCATTTTCAGGAAGTCTCTACGCCTCAGCGCTAGAGCGCGGCTGGAACATAGCGTGGGCAAGATAACGACCATGATCTCTACAGATGCAACCCGATTGGAGAAGAACACGTACTATGCTCACAAGTAAGTGGTGTATGGATACGTCGTCTGTTCTCAGCTAATTTGAGCCGCCTCACAATAGTCTTTGGATTGCTCCTTTACAGATCATTATTGGAGTAGCACTCCTGTTAAAGACTGTGAGTAGACTCTCCGGAGGGGATATTTGACGCAGCTTAGATTATCTCCGTGAATAGCTGGGTTATTCTGGACTCGTCGGCGTCGGTGTACGTGGATACATTTTGATGCACCGTGTTTTCACGCTCACTGGAATTTATACAGGTCATGATCCTCGGCCTCCCAGCCGAGTTGATTTGCGTGTTTGCCTTGTTTAAGCAGCGTAGCATGGGTGTTGTGCTGACGGACAAGCGCGTGCGGACCATCAGCGAGGTCCTCCTTATTCTCAGAATTTATTATGTTTTGCATTGACGTGATTGTCGTGGTCATAGGTTCTATCAGGCATTCGGCTCATCAAGTTCTTTTCATGGGAGGGCTTTTTCGCACACGAGGTCTCTACTATTCGGCAGAAGGAAGTACATCGGGTGCGGTTGATGGGGTATGATTTCATCAACCTCCGTCCTTGCCTGGTCAGCTCATCCGTACATCGCTCGTAGTCTCGCCCTAGCCAGCCTGATAAGTGTGGTGACGATGATACCAGTCCTGGCTGCTGTCCTCTCATTCGTAAGTGGAGTCTCATATGCTGATGGGTTGAACATGCTACCATTTGCCACAACCGTAGATCACGTATGCTCTGAGCGGCCACACTTTGAACGTCTCGATCATCTTCACGTCGCTGCAGTTTTTCAACGTACGTCGGCATCATCGCGTTCATTGGGTCCACCCATCAGACCCTCACATCCTTACAGATCATTCGGATGCCGCTGATAACCCTACCGATGGTCCTCGCACATGCCACGGACTCCGTCGTTGCCTTAAAGCGTATCTCCAAATTTCTCCTAGCAGAGGAGCTCATCGAGCCGTACACGATCGAACCGTCTAATAAGTACGCCATAGATGTCGAGGGCGACTTTACCTGGGACACAGCGCACAAGCCTGCGGAAGAGAAGATCTCAGACTTGAATGCGAATGCATGGAAGAGACGTCCTGAGCGCCCTCCTCCCCCAAAAAAAACCGAGCGTCGATCTCGTTGTCTGGGAAAGCGCAAGAAGAATCCGCGTGATAATAAGGGCGAGCTCGGCCAGGCTCCTCAGGAAGGCTCAGCCAGCGCTGCTGAGGATGGGGAGAAGAACGAGAAGCCCTTCGAGTTGAAAGACTTCAACTTCAAAGTCCCAAGAGGATCTTTTGTTGCCGTATTGGGACCTATCGGGTCTGGCAAGGTATAACCTGATAACGGCGTTAGTTCGTCCTCTTTCTATCCTCTGAACCCTTACGTTCGCAGAGCTCTCTGCTGCAAGCGCTGATCGGTGAGATGCGGAGAGTTAGCGGTCATGTAGGTGTCGCGCGTGCTGCTTGACGTGCTATTTGCTGCTCACGCTCTACCGATAGGCCACGTTCTCTTCGCAGATAGCGTATGTTCCTCAGACTCCGTGGATCATAAATGCCAGTCTTCGGCAGAACATCACCTTTGGCCAGCCAAATGATGACCAGAGGTGAGACCGCAACCTGTCCCTCGGCGTGATGAATGTGTATCCATTTGTCTCGATCCCTGTTTAGATTCCGAGAGGTGGTGAGAGCCTGCTGTCTCGAGCGCGATCTCGAAATGCTCCCTCAAGGTGAAAACACCGAGATAGGAGAGAGAGGAATCAACTTAAGTGGTAAGCTCAATCTGACCGCGCTCCACATGACATGCTCACGTCGAACCATGCTATCAGGAGGTCAGAAAGTGAGCGTCATTTGACTGGTAGAAAAGCCAGTATCCAGACTGATATTCTCAGGCCCGCGTGTCATTGGCACGAGCTGCATATTCTGGCGCGGATATTGTGCTCATGGATGACGCGCTGAGCGCTGTCGACGCCCACACCGGCAAGCGAATACTAGAGGATTGCTTCATGAATGGTCCGCTGGGATTGAAGACTCGTGTGCTGCTGACGCATGCACTGCACCTTGTTGTCAAGACGGATTACATCTATATCATGGACAACGGCGCGATCGTTGAGCAGGGGACTTTCAGTGTAAGTGTTAGATGTCGACTGGATTGGTCTAAAAGGCTCATGAGGACTGGTTGCATAGGACTTGATGAAAAGCAGTACGAGATTCGCCCGTATGATGGAGGAGTATGGGAATTTGGATAAGATTGAAGAAGAAGACGATGTTGGTGTTCAAGCAGCGCATTCTCTCACTGCGTATAGCGGCAAGGGGAAGAAAGACGACGGACCCGGCCTAATGCAGGTGGAGGAGCGCTTGACAGGAGCCGTGTCTTGGAAGACGTATAACACTTACTTCCGGTATGCCGGAGGGGTATTTTGGTTGCCTTTGATTGGGACTTTGCTGTGCCTCACGCAGGGGGCGTCAGGTATGAGTTTCAGCAGTCTTGAACCGATTCGCGCTATGGTTTTAATACATTCACAGTTGCCAACAACATTATGTTGGGATTTTGGACGGCTGAAAGTGTCGCGGGTTTCACTCAGTCTGATTATATGGCCACATATGCGACCCTCGGGGTAGCCAATGCGCTATTTTCTTTCTTCCTCAGCTTTGCTATTACGTGAGTATGATGATCGGCTATTTCTCTGACACCCGTCATTCACAATCGCATAGCCTAGCGAGTTTGTACGCTGGCCTGCGGATGTTCGAGAAGGCATGGAATAGCGTGCTGCACTCACCCGTGTCATTCTTTGACACTACGCCAATGGGTATGATCAACCTCCTTTGTTGAATGCTATATTGAACACTCTCTAGGTCGCATCCTGTCACGCCTGTCGAAGGACCAAGATACCATCGATGCAGAACTATCCATGACAACGTACCAGGTAACATACCTAATTACGCTGCACTCAAACTGAAGCGTTGACCATAATATGCATGTAGTTCATGTCCTCACTAAGGTGCGTAACAATCCGCTCAACTGACTATCATTTTCAAACGTTGGCACACGCAGTTCTGTCGTTGGAACGGTGTTTCTTGTATTCTACACGTTCCCCTACCTAGGCATCATGTTCGTGCCGCTGACGATCGCGTACTACCTCTCTGCGCTGTACTATCGCCGAAGCTCGGTGGAAACGAAGCGATTGGACTCCATCCTTCGATCATGGTTGTATGCCGCCTATGCAGGTGCGTGCGAGCTTCAGAAAGCTTGAATCCAGTTGCTAACTTGGTCTTCCACAGAAACGTTAACTGGACTCAGCACAGTTCGAGCCTTTGGAGAGGAGGTCAGCAGTTGCAGTATCGCATGGATGATCGTGCGACTCACCCGTCTCTAGAGCCACTTCGTGCGGAAGACCGAAAAGGGTCTGGACTTGGAAAACCGAGCGTATTATATGGTCATTGCCATCCAGCAATGGTTGGCAACTCGATTGGACCTGCTCGGGAATCTGCTCGTCCTTGGAATCGCTCTGTTCGCTGCCGGATATAGTAAATCCATCAATCCTAGCAAAGTGGGCGTGGTGATCTCGTACACCTTGAGCAGTAAGTTCCACATGTCTCGATGAAAACAGATGCTCACAGGTCGCTTCCTTCTAGTTACATCTACCTTCTGTACGTCATTCATATTGTATCTCATTGATATTTCGAGAGATTGACATGTCCTACAGCTCAACTTGTCTCCACGTACGCTCAGAATGAGCAGAACTTCAACTGTGTTGAACGTATCCTTCACTACGCTGATCTACCATCGGAAGGGAATGCCACCACTCCGAACGACCCGCCGCCCTCTTGGCCGGAGAAGGGACATGTCGAATTCAAAGATGTAGAGCTAGCATATCGCCCTGGGTTGCCGGTAGTTCTCAAACGCGTCAGTTTCACAGTAAATTCAGGCGAGAAGGTCAGCTTTCCAGCTACCGATACAGCGTACAACTCATAGACAGTTCTTAGGTCGGTATTGTTGGGCGGACAGGGGCAGGCGAGTATCTCCTCCGTGGACGTAAATCTTCCATTGACACCCTCGTCACGCAGGCAAGAGCTCTCTCATGCAGGCGCTCTTCCGGTATGTATCTGAGTATGAAGTTGGCTACATTCTTTTCAACTTAATGCATGGCAGAATTGTGGAAGTCCAGGGCGGCAAGATTGAGATCGATGGCGTGAATATCTCCGATATCGGCCTGGCAACTTTGAGAAGCCGCATGGCATTGGTTCCTCAAGACAATGTACTCTTCAGGGGCACGCTCAGGCAGAACTTGTAGGCGATTCTTATACTTGCGATATCCAGACTCATGGAAAGTAACGATCGCTATAGAGATCCAGCAGGTAGTCGTCCAGACGCTGAGATGATAGCAATCCTCCAGAAAGCATGGTTATTGCCCAGAGACGGTCAACACGATCCTGTTGCCGAAGCCAAATTCAGCTTGGACTCTACTGTTGACGACGAGGGTAAGTGCAAGGCCCGATGATAGCGGATATTTGGACTGACCGTTTTTGCCCCCAGGATCCAACTACTCTGCTGGAGAGAAGCAGCTACTCGCACTGGCCCGTGCTTTGGTCAAGAATAGTCGCATCATCGTTCTGGTAGGCCATTGTACATGTCTCGATGAGCACTGTCTGACATAATGCGGGCGGCAGGACGAAGCGACGAGTAATGTGGACCTGCAGAACGATGCCAAGATCCAGCAAACGATACAGACAGAGTTCTCCTCCTCGACTTTGTTGTGCGTCGCCCATCGTCTCAACACTATCGGTACGTGCAGCTGTTTCCGTTATCGCCTTCATGACTGAATATGACAATCTGTAACGAACAGTCTACTACGATCGTGTGCTGGTGATGGACGCGGGTCAAGTGGTCGAATACGACACGCCTCTCAATTTGTACGACAAGGAAGACTCGATCTTCCGTTCTCTCTGCGATGAGGCGAGGCTTGCGAGACAGGATATTGTACGAATCAGGGCAAACGTGCCCACTGCGGGTCATACCGATATCAATGATTTGTGATCATGGAGATGAGATTCATTTGGCGTGCATGACTTACTGTACTGTTTCTAGATGGTCCGGTTCGTCGACTTGATGTATTAACGATAGATTCACGATATATATCGGTTCACTCCACCTGCTAGATATTTCAACAGATGCGCAGATCTCATTTCATATTAATTAGCGGGTCGAAGAATCCTTGTTATCAGCCTGAGGCTATTAATCAAGTTAGCTATGAAGCGGGAAATGTCCAGATTGCACTGCGACACTTCCAGATGCACGTCGTACGAAGACGCTCAATGATCTACAATAACAAGTCAACGGCGATCCGAGTTGGATTCAAATCTTGGCTGCAAACGAAGGGCCCTGTTGGTGGTCGAAAATCATACCAGAATCGACGCCCATTGACATCTGTTCGACCTTGAGTTACTTCGGTCGCGCGACGGCGGATAGCTGCACGTTCAACTAATTACTCTCTCCTTGCATTTTGCTCGGCTCTCTCCAACGCCTCTCACTGGCATGCCAACCCATATAATCCCGTGACTCACAACTACTACTCTGTGGAATACACAAATGCAGGCTTCTTCTGACTATAGAACTCTTGGGCAAACTCCTCCAGTGAAGTCGGATGGATGTCGGGATATAATTCACGAACATCAAGATACCCGAGCGCCTTGGCATTTTCTAGCGAGTCCTCGCCCAATATGTGGATGCTGATCATATATTCCGATGACGCCTGCAAGACGTGTGCCTCCGGATTGCCAGTCCGCTTGTATTCCTCCCTTCCTTGCGCAGCGAGCTTCAAAAGCTCTTCGTAGGTCAGCTGAAAACGAGAAATTAATCGCGTGTTTCGTTAACAAAAGAGAGGTGCGCACGTAGGTCCATTTGTCCTTCGCCGCCTCTCCGTCAGGAGAGTACTTCTCTACGAGCCTCTTCACGTCTAGAAGCGTCACCTCGTCCTCCCATACGATGACACTGTGGTTGAGCGTTCGCTCATCGGCGATGATCCTTGCAACGTACGGACCCACGTGTGTCACGTCCGTAACGAGCAGTTTCTTGTCACCTTTACCGATTATCTTGTAGCTGAGCGAGCTAAGCAACGGCGATGGAAGAGTGAGCTGCGTCCACCACCCGATGTCGATGAAGGTGTAGCCGAGCCCTAGTTGCTTGATGTAATCATGGATCTCAAGTTTCTAGGCAAAGTCCCATTAGCATGTTGGCAGTCCGCTGAAGGAGCTTGCGGACAAGACATACCGTATCGTTCAGCTCCCGCACTCCACGTTTGCCTGGGGTGGCAAAGTCGCATGGGATGACCCGCTTTACTCCAACCTCCTTTGCAGCGGCCAAGAGCGGCTTCTGATCAAGTATGGCAAAGCCGTTGATAGAGCTGATGAGGATGTCCACGCCAGACAGCGCCTCCTTCAGCTTCTCGACGCTATCCGAACGAAAGTCCCCTGTGCGAATTTCAGCCCCTTTCGCGCGGAAGCTTTCAAGAGCGGGCTTGGAAAGTGAGGACGGTCGTGTCAACACTGCCACCCTCTGACATACGAAAGGCCTGTTCAGCAAGATGGCATCGCGCAATTTCGCGAGCATGACAACATACAAAATCTCTGCCGTTCAGGAGGGCCTCCGTGATATGCTTTCCGGTGTTGCCGGTTCCACCGACTACGAGTACGAGGGGCTTCGAAGCCATGTGTTTGAGCAATGAAGAGTAGTGTTTTGAGCAATCGGTTTTTCTCTCTCCGTTTTTCGCGAAGGCTCTGGCTTATATTCGACCATGGCAACTCCGGGATCGGGAATTACTCAGCTGCTCAAAAGGTGCATCCTCGGCCTTCCCACTGTGTGGTTGCTTTCTCAGATCTCAGTCACGCTGCTGGTGATGCCTAAGACCTCATGACACACGGAATGTCTGATAATCCATGAAAGAGCTGGAGATGAGAAATGGGCATTAGTGTGTTTGGGACCTGGGTGCGTCTGTGGCCCAAACCAAGCAGGACGTTTGTTTGGCTGTGTTAGAATCCGAGGTGCGACGCCCAATCCCGCCGGTGGCGTGCGACTCTCCCCAGTTTGCGTGCATCAAAATATATAGTACATTCTAACATTCTAACATTCTAACAACAGCTGAGTGGACTTTAGGACGTCTCATATTGCAAAGTTTCTATCTACCAAATCATCCGTTCCCTGCATTGCAATATTCTCCATATAAGAACAAGTATGGAGACACTCAAGGTCACGTTGGACGTTTCTGCACCTGACGGACTGGAAGAAGACTGTTTTTGTCGTATGGAAGAAAAGGACGAACGGGGGAGATGATTGGTAAGTCGAATTAGGGATTAATCTATGTAGGTTCCCGATTGCAAGACCAGAAACGACGTACCAAGTCGTTGTCTCGCTCTTTAGCCGGGACTTGCCTCCCTGAGGTACGCACTCAGCGGCGTGCTCCAGTGGTCGATGACCTACCTCAACTAATCATTGACGTTGGTTGTGGAATGAGACCTGCAAGCGGCGGCTACGCTGCGGATATTGTCGTTAACGTCTTGGAGAACGCACTGGCCAATGTTCAGGTTTTGACGAACCGTAGGCATCACTACGATTCGCGTCAATTACACCGAGATGCAATGAGAGGAGATATCGTGCATTCTAATGATACAGGCATGGCCGGTACGCACAAATACATTACAGGTACTATTTGAAGGTTAGTCCGATGATCATGATGTTCGCTCATGCCTTGGGTACGCCTCCTGTCCCGTATAGTTCTACGTGAACCCTACCCTCCTCGATGCCATATCCCTTCAGCACTCTCTCCATATCGACCATGAACGACACAGGGCCGCAGACGAAGTACTGCGTCCTCTTATCGCTGACAAACAGGTCCTTCTCTCGATCAAGCTTTCCCAAATCCATGCGCCCCGCGTGGTGGTAATGCATGCTCCGCACGTCTTCCGGAGCGGGCGTCGTGGTGTAGAACACCGTGTGAACGTTGCTGTTTTCACGGACGACGTCCGACATGTGATCTACGAATGCGCGGACCTTCTGCGTGCGCGCCGCATGGATCCACGAGATCGGGCGCGATGTGTGCTGCTCGGTGAGCGTATTGAGGATGGAGGTAAGACAAGTAAGGCCGACGCCGCCAGAGATGAGAACGACGGGAGCGTCTGCAGGTCCTGCGGCGGGGTCAAAGTAGAAGTCGCCGTAGGGGTGAGAGACCCGAATGATGTCGCCTTCCTGCTTATGATCATGCAGGATGTTGGAGATGTAGCCGGGGTGGGCTATAGAGGCACGGTTGGCCATGTCGACGCCGGTCTCCTGGGGGAGCGTATCAGAGGAAGCGCATGAAATGTAGAAACGGCTGGTACGTACCCGCTTAACACTGATTCTGTAGTAATCCTTGCCAGGCGCATCGCTCAGCGAATATTGCCTCGCCTGCAAGGTCTTCAAGTCCGGTACCTCCATCTGCACCGAGATATACTGCCCCGGCAAGAATTTCGGAAGTTTACCGCCATCGACCGGTACAAGGTAGAACGACGTGATCTCCTCGCTCTCGCGCACTTTCTGCTGAATCCTGAACGGCCTCCAGTCTGTCCAGCCGTCCGCAGACTTGTACAGCTGCGCCTCCCGATCGATCATCAGCTTTGCGAGCTGCCAGTAGGCGGCTGCCCAAGCGTCGTGGATGGCGGGCGTAAAGGCATCACCAAGAAAATCATTCATCTCTGCGAGGAGGTACGTGCCCACGATGTCGTATTGTTCGGGACGGATGTAGAGCGATGCATGCTTGTTGCAGATGAGCTCGACTGCTGGGCCGAGTGCACCGAGATTATCAATGTTCGAGGCGTAGGCGAACAGCGCGTGAGCCAGCGCGCGGGGTTGATTCCCACTGATCTGATGGGCGTTATTGAATACGTTCTTCAGCTCCTGGTGCGCATTGAGCATGTTCTGGTAGAATCGAGTTGTAATGGTAGTGCCATGCTCAACGAGGATGGGCACTGTCGATTTGATGATCTGGACCTGCTCTGGAGTGAGAGACATAGTGTACTGCTGCAAATGTTGCCGTGCCGAATACGAGGAAAATGAGCGGAAGGATTCTCGATAGCCAGGGAAAGCGATAGTAAGCCCGACCAACTGACTTCGTGATGTAACCGAGTCGATCCCAAATTCCCCTTAAGTACCATCGCCTAGCGAATCATAACGCGCGCATATGTTTGTCAAGAACGCGGTCCTCGTTACGACTGAAAATTTTCGATTAGAGAAACGCCCAAACGTTCAGGGGTGGCGAGCTGGACTGCAGAGTTCCGGGCGCGGGCGGACCTGCGAAGCATCTAGATGGCAAGAACAACCGCACATAGAACCAGGAGCGGAGGGCCGGGCTTCGATCGAGGCCAACCCTGTAGGGAGTCAATAGAAAACGCGGAGTAAAACGGAAGCTCACATGCTGAGGATTTTACCCGACTGAACGCATCTGCAACTCGTCATCAACATCTCCGAGCACTGCTTCGCGCACATGCCGGTCATCAGCGGTCATTGTGGACTCGCTTCTTGCTCGTTCACATGAGAATACGCTAGCCCGCTTTTTCGCAAGTCCAGATTTCGGGTAAGCGAACGCACCGGGCTATGTTCTTAAGGACGGGCTATGTATATCCCGAAATGCAAAAGATACATGCAATTTGTCGCAGTGCATCGTTACTGTAATGGCGACGCCAACGCAGGTGATCACGAATTATACTGTAACGCAACTTGAGAAAGTGATCTTTCAGAGATCTGGCGAATGCTAACATCTGCGCGTCACATTAGCTGACAGCCAATTTTTGGTGTTGTCGGATTGACTGGTCCCAGCAATTAAGAACAGACACGACCAGAGATGATAGCGTGTACCAGGAGAGGAGTGCGGGCGCCAGCCTTGCACTAATAAAAACTAGTCTGCTTTTTGAGAGGTCGGATTTTTCGAGCGGAGATGCAAATCTATTAGGAGTAGGCTTTTCGGACTTTGTAATCGCGTGTAATGTTCGTTCCAAGAGTTACATTTATTGTGTAGCCCCCTTGCTTCTTCTGCCATGTCTGCTGCTGCTGCCGCTGTTCTCACTGCTAGTCTGTCATGCGGTGGAGCTACTCAGCCTCTACGACAACCCATGGATTCAACTAGGGCTGCGCACATGGATATCATACTCGGTGAGATCCAGAGATGCGGTTGGACAATCGGCTCCTTTCTGTTTGACCTCTTCACTCTGCCCCCGCACTCTCGAAAGGACAGAAATATTGCGCCAGTATCCCAGCTCCGTATCCAGATGGTTTCAAAATTTTTCCATAGAGAAACGAGCATGAAGGCCCATCATCATGCATACTTTCGCCACTTCGCACGTCCACTGCCATCTAGATCAGGGCAGAATCGTCGCAATCCCTTTGTGATACGCACGCTGTCGGTATCTACCAGGATAGTGTGCTAAGTTTTCGTCTTCACATTGTCATGGTTGCGAGCCTTTTCTCGATGAGTGCTCGCAATCTTCATTTATCAATGTTCTACAGGATTATTGGTAGCTGGCTGTTTGCTCACACTGCACAGATGGAATCTATGTGCTCAGAGGATACTTTTCAACTTTTGTGAACTTTCTTTGGAAACACAATCATATTGTAGACTATCAGAGTCTATTGGAGATTTGCTAGATGACATAGTAGAATGTACAGCTAAGGGATTGACAACGTAAGCGGGCACAGATGCGAAGAAGCAAAGCGCATCCGAGCGCGCCTCAGACGCGTTGCGACGCATCCAACACAATGTTGTGCTTTGTGTGTAGTCACACGTGATGTCGGACTTCAATTTTTGCCGCCCTCCCGACACGGACCCCCCAATAGAAAGCAGACGTCAGACAAGGGTATCCGGAGCGTTCCCGCGGAGGTTTGAAGGAATTGTCTCGTCTGCCCATGGGAGACTAATAAAAATGTCCAGCTGGCGATGTGCTTAGTGCTTAGCGTGCATTGCGGTTTTGGATTGGACAACGTCTACGTAGAATCAAGTCAAACTTCCCGTTATTTATGTCTCGACAATATTCCTTCATTGGACAAGATCTATAACATGCTGTGCTTCTAAGGGATACATAGGTACTATTGGATATTGTATGCAATTTGCTGCACAAATTGGGAAAGTGAAAAAGAAGCAATTGTGCAAGTGAGCCTCGTTGAACTTTAAATTTAGTTGCCAACTTAATCTTCCACATAAAAGCCAACTAGTTGGACTCAGCACAGTTCGGGCCTTTGGAGACGAGGTCAGTAGGTGCAGTAGTATCGCAAGCACCGATTGTGCGATTCATCTTTTAGTACTAGGGTCACTTCGTGCAGAAGGCCAAAAATGCCGCTCTGGACTTGAAAACCTGAACGTACTACTAGTATAGTGATTTCCATCCAGTAATGGTAGGGGTTGGCAACTCGATTGCTGCTCGGGAATCTGCTCGTCCTTGGAGTGGCTTTGTTCGCTGCCGGATATAGTAAATCGATCAATCCTAGCAAGGTTGGCATCGTGATCTCGTACACCTTGAGCAGTATGTTCCACATGTCTCGATGCAATCAGATGCTCACAGGTCGCTTTCCTTATAGTCACGTTCACCTTCTGTATGTCGTTAATGGCATCGCATTGATATGTCGGGACATTAACTGTCATGCAGCTCAACTTGTCTTCACATACGCTCAGAATGAACAGAACTTCAACTGCGTTGAACGTATTCTTCATTACGCTGATTTACCATCGGAAGGAAATGCCACCACTCCGGAGAAGGGACTGTAGATGGATGGAAAACGAGTGGAAGGGAGGGCAGATGCTAGAGTCAAAGGGCTTCAGATCCTTGATGATAGAAGGACTCTATTAGTATGTACCTAGAGTCAACTACGGTACATCAGTACATAAGCTACTTTCATGCGGGACAGTATGAGTACTCACAGGGCTTCAGATCCTTGATGATAGAAGGACTGAAGCCCGCAGAACGAGCGAAGCGGGTGAAAAGTCTTACGGGCGCTAATGCCCGATAAGTATGTAAAAGGAGATACTGACGATAAGTAGGAATATAAGTCAATACTTTTTTTGGCTAGGCTTGATATTCCAACAGGGACATGTCGAACTCAAAGACGTAGAGCTAGCATATCGCCCTGGCCTGCCGGTAGTTCTCAAATGCGTCAGCTTCACAGTAAATACAGGTCAGAAAATTGGCTGCCGTGCTACTGATACAGCGTATAACTAAAGAACAGTTCTTAGGGCGGTATTGTTCGGAGAACAGGGGCAGGCGAGTATTTACAACCGTGGATGCAAATGTTCCATTGACACCCACGGCAAGAGCTCTCTCGTGCAGGCGTACGACTTCAAAATGGAGTTGGTTGCCTTTGTTAAAACTTAATGCATGGCGGAAATGTGAAGGTCCAAAGCGGCAAGATTGAGAGTCGCATTGCTTCTTCAATACAATGCACGCTTCCACGGCACACTCAGGCAGAACTTGTAGGCATTTTTAATACCTGCAATGTTCAGACTCTGGCAAGTGACGGTCGCTATAGAGTTCCCGCAGTAGCCGTCCAGACTCTGAGTTATTGCAATATTCCAGAAAGCATGCCTACTGCCCAGAGGCGATCAACGCCTATTGACATCTGTTCGATGTTTAATGACGGTCGACCGTTGGAAAGATGGCGGGCAGCTGCACGTTCTATTACTCTGTTCTTGCACTTTGCTCGGCTCTCTCCAACATCTCTCACTGGCATGCCATAGGTATGTTCTCCAGTGACTCACAATCACTACTCTCTGGACTATACAGATGCGGGCCTCTTCTGACTATAGAACTCTTTGACAAACTCCTCCAATGAAGTCGGATGGATGTCGGGATATAATTCGTGAGCATCGAGATACCCGAGCGCCTTCGCATTCTCCAGCGAATCCTCGCCCAAGATGTGGATGCTGATCATGTATTCCGATGCCGCCTGCAACACGCGTGCCTCCGGGTTGCCAGTTCGCTTGTATTCCTCCTTTCCTTGTGCAGCGCGCTGCGAAAGCTCTTCGTAGGTCAGCTAAAAATGAGAAATAAATCGCGTGTCTCGCTGATAGAAAGGGAGAGACACACGTAGGTCCATTTATCCTTCGACGCATCACCGTCTGGAGAATACTTCTCCATGAGCCTCTTCACGTCTAGAAGCGTGACCTCGTCCTCCCATACAATGACACTCTGGTTGAGTGTCCGCTCATCGGCGATGATCCTTGCAACGTACGGACCGATGTGGGTCACATCTGTAACGAGCATTTTCTTGTCACCTTTGCCGATTATCTTTTAGTTGAACGAGCTAAGCAACGACGATGGAAGAGTGAGCGGCATCCACCACCCGATGTCGATGAAGGTGTAGCCGAGCCCGAGTTGCTTGATGTAATCATGGATCTCAAGTTTCTAGGCAAGGTCGCATTAGCACGCTGGCAATCCGCTGAAGGGGTCTGCTGACAAGACATACCGTGTCGTTCAGCTCCCGCACGCCATGTTTGCCTGGGGTGGCAAAGTCGCAAGGGACGACCCGCTTTACTCCGACCTCCTTCGCAGCGGCCAAGAGTGGCTTCTGGTCAAGTATAGCAAAAGCGATCACAGAGCTGATGAGAATGTCCACGCCAGAGAGCGCATCTTTCAACTTCTCGATGCTATCTGAACGAAAGTCCCCTGTGCGGACTTCTGCCCCTTTGGCGCGGAGGTTCTCGATGGCGCGCTTGGAAAGCGAGGACGGTCGTGTCAAGGTCGCTACCCTCCGACATTCGAAAGTCCTGTTCAGCAAAATGACATCGCGTGATTTTGCGAGCATGACAACATACAAAGTCTTTGCCGTTTACTAGGAGGGCTTCCGTGATATGCTTTCCGGTGTTGCCAGTTCCACCGACTACGAGCACTCGGAGAGGCTTCGGGGCCATGTCTTCACGAGGAGTGTGCCGAGCAATGTCTTTCTTGCTCTTCACTTTCCGCGACGGCTCTGGTGTATATTCTACCCTGGCAACTCCGGTATCGGGAATTACTCAGCTGCTCACGGTGCGCATTCTCGGCTTTCCCATTCTCTCTTAGGTCATGCTCCTGTGACGTCTCGGGCCTCGGGCCGCATGACACACGGAATATTAGCCACGAAAGAGCGGGAGGTGAGGAATGGGCACTATTGCATCGAGATGCGTCTGATGTGGCCCAAGGCAAGATGTTTGTTTGGCCGTGTTAGAATCCAAGGGCGATAGCCTCGACGCCCAATCCCCGTGGCGTGTGAAGGCTCTTCGTTGCATTTTCTCTCTGGTACTATCTACTGGTATCATGATTGTTCGTACCGGTTTGCGCGCGTCAAGCTATTAGCTTTAAGGAGTTCTCATATTGCATATTGAAAGGTATCTACCTACCATGTCATTCGTTCGCTTGGGTACCAGATAGCAATATTCTTTACAAGAGGACAAGCGTGTCAACGGTGGTGTTCAAACTGAGTGCTGATGCTTGCAGCGAAGATCTCCAGATCAGCATTGCACGTCAGCACGTGTGACCATGATTTTGTTGAGATGAAAAGCATGCAGTCGACGTTTCCACTTCACGCGACTGATTGATGCGAAGGCATGAGAAAGTGTATTACTGCTGATAGCAGCTGCCATCCATGTTCCTCGACGAAATTTCCAGCTTACAGCTCGCAAACGTTCTGGTGCAAGCAGTGTGACATAAGTATCTACTGATTCTTGCCAAATATAGCGCAAGGAGAGGCTGTTTGAATAGGCAGCAGCAACTCAGCCTCGAAGACCGCGTTTTGATCCCAGAGCTGGGTTTTATTGACTCTGAATTGATCATCGAGAAGACGCCGTAATCTCCACTTAAACATTAAGGGGTATACTGTATTCCAAAGGGCTCTCAGGCTTCTTCAACGCATTCCAGTGCTTGCTCACAGGTACGTATAACGTCCTGCAGCCTCGGAAGAGAGGTGCTAAGATTGCAGGCCCTGACAGCTGCTTTCTCTGCGCCCACGTGTGAGAAGATGGCAGCCGTCCGGTCTACTTATCAAGAAGGACTTATACCCTTCAAAGTCGAAGGCGACACGCATCATACGTGGTATAGGCTGTTCGGAGACCTCTCAAACAGAACGCGTGCTCCGCTCGTTGTTCTGCACGGCGGGCCCGGCCTCCCACACGACTACCTCATCCCCATCGCCGACCTCTTCAAAATTGACGGAATTCCGGTGATCTTCTACGACCAACTTGGGACTGGGCGCTCCACTCACCTCCCCTACAAGCCCAATTCGTTCTGGACCTTCGACCTCTTCCTCGATGAGCTGACCAACCTTCTCAACTTCCTGGGCGTTCAGGACGGCTTCGACCTCCTTGGCCATTCGTGGGGCGGCATGTTAGCGGCGGAGTTCGTCATCCGCCGCCGGCCGTCCGGCCTCAGACATCTCGTATTGAGCAATTCGTCTCCGTCGAAGAAGCTCACGCGGAAGTCGCATGCCATGTTGCATGCTGAATTTTCAAAGGTGGAGCGCGAGGCGTGGCTCGCTGGTCCTGCCCACCCGTTGTTCATGCAGGCGTCCACGCACTACTTCTCATTACATGGGTGCCTGGTGCAACCACTTCCGGAGGAGTTCAGATACTCACTAGCGCAGGGCGTGGCGCCCACAGGGGATACCACTGTGTTCGATGCAATGTCAGTGCTCCGTGTACGATTCAAAAAGCCCAACTTGCATACTGAAGCGGAGTGCACTGCAGGAACCAAGGGGAGCTCAAGAATTGGTCCATTATTGACAAGCTGCATACTATCCGGGTGCAAACTCTAGTCATCAATGGACGCGCGGACTATTTCCAGGACTTTGTGTGCGCGCCATTTTTCACTGAAATTCCGCGCGTGAAATGGGTCACCTTCGAAGCGTCCAGTCATAGTCCTTTCTGGGAGGAGCGCGAGCGATACATGCATATCATCGGAAACTCCTTGGCCCTATGAATGCCGTTATGTGTACAATCCCGTGCAGATAACTGTAGTTTCAGACAATTTCAACTACGTCATTCGATGGATTGCGTGCTAACTCCGATTTCAGCCGTTCAAGCGCGGGCGTTGACCTACCATTAGGACCGCTGTGCGTAAATATCTGCATCTGGGAAACGGAGGGCGAAGAGCATCTCCGACGTCGTGAACGTTGTCATGGATGATGCCCGCTCCGGCGACACGCCAAATGACGACTTCGGCAGTAATGCGCTAGTGGCATGATATGTCCCGCTGTCGTTGGCACGTTCAAACCATTCACCTCGACTTGCACAAGAAGCGAAACGAATATGCTAGGCGCGCTGGTCTGGGCTCTGTACAGGATCATAAACATGAGGCTGACAATCCCGTATGGGAACGCCGGTTCAACGATCATCGACGCGATGTTCAGGTATGAGAAGCCATGTTCGTCTTTCATAACGGGTTGCAACCTGTCGATGTCGCGAAAAAAGTCGAGCGACAAGCATGAGCATGCCAGAGAATGGACGATTGGTATGGTGCCACCAGCAAGATCATCTGCGGATCGGGTCCAGAAACTTGAATGGGGTCTCGCCACTTCGATCACGGCAGATACTTGGGGTTTTTCTCGCACAGCGCTCGGATTCGTGTGAAGAAAGGAATGATCATAATTTAGCGATGCAGGAGTGCCAGGCTCGGCCTTGAGCCGGCTGTCTGGTTCAAAGCCGCAACCCAGGCCTTAGGCGAAGGCTCCTGGCGTCCGTCAATTATCATTGCCAGTGAGTTCATTCGCTTAGCGCACCTTCATGGTGCTAACTTAATCTGAATAGCTCCGAATCGTTGTTGAAGCATCGATGATGCACTGCGACAAGCTGGATGTCTCGATTGCATCTCAGACATATAGAGATGGATTTGCATCTCCTCGTCAGGAATACAGCCCGGTGCGTGTGCTTATCCGCAATCTGGACTTGCGGAAAAGAAGGCGGAGCTTGTCTTCGTACGGATGGGCAGCTTGGAAACGGGTCCACGATGGACCGTCACATGGATGACAAATTGCAGATGCATCCGCACGGGAGACATCATACGAGTTTTTCATTACGGTCAAAAAGCAGTTCGTGCCAACATGTGAACTTCCGTTTTGTTCCGCGTTTTCTGCACTCCATCAAAGCGCGACCCGCTTCGCAGTCCAGCTCAGCTCTCGCCCGTGAACCTTTGAACGCTTAAACCTTGGACTTTTCTCTTAGAACGTTTCATGTCACTGTGACGAGGATCGGCTACGTGCTTGACCAACGTATGCGCACACTATTGCCGGCTCGCCGATGGTACTTAAGGAGAGTTCGGGATCGCCTCGACTACATTACGAACCCAGTTCTTTTCCTGGTCATACCGCGTGCTTTTCTCGTATCCTCGACGACAATATTCGCAACGATACACTATGTCTCTCACTCCAGAGCAGGTCCAGATCATCAAATCGACAGTGCCCATCCTCGTCGAGCATGGCACTACCATTACGACTAGATTCTACCAGAACATGATCAACGCGCACCCGGAGCTGAAGAACGTATTCAACAACGCTCACCAGATCAGTGGGGATCAGCCCCGCGCTCTGGCTCACGCGCTGTTTGCCTACGCTTCCAACATCGACAATCTCGGTGCGCTCGGCCCAACAGTCGAGCTCATCTGCAACAAGCATGCATCTTTCTACATTCGCCCCGAGCAATACGACATCGTGGGCACGTACCTCCTCGCAGAGATGAAGAATTTTCTTGGTGATGCCTTTACGCCCGCCATCCATGACGCTTGGGCAGCCGCCTACTGGCAGCTCGCAAAGCTGATGATCAACCGGGAGGCGCAGCTGCACAAGTCCGCGGACGGCTGGACAGACTGGAGGCCGTTCAGGATTCAGCGGAAAGTGCGCGAGAGCGACGAGATCACGTCGTTCTACCTTGTACCGGTCGATGGCGGTAAACTTCCGAAATTCTTGCCGGGGCAGTATATCTCGGTGCACGTGGAGGTACCGGACCTGAAGGCCTTGCAGGCGAGGCAATATTCGCTGAGCGATGCGCCTGGCAAGGATTACTACAGAATCAGCGTTAAGCGGGTACGTACCATTTATTCTTGCGCTTGATGTACTCCCTCTGACACGATCACCCAGGAATCCGGCGTCGACGTGACCAACCCTGCCTCCGCAGCCCACCCCGGCTACGTTTCCAACATCCTGCACGAAAATAAGCAGGAAGGCGACGTCATCGATATCTCTCATCCCTACGGTGACTTCTACTTTGACCCCGCCGCAGGACCTGCAGACGCTCCCGTCGTTCTCATCTCTGCCGGCGTCGGCCTTACCAGTCTTATCTCCATCCTCAGTACGCTCACTGAGCAGCACACATTGCGCCCGATCTCGTGGATTCACGCTGCGCGCACGCAGAAGGTCCGCGCCTTCGTAGATCATATATCGGACATCGTTCGTGAACACAGCAATGTTCACACGGTGTTCTACACCGTGAAGCCCGCGCCGGAAGACGTGCACGGTGTGCATTACCACCACGTTGGCGACATGGATTTGGGAAAGCTTGATCGAGAGAAGGACCTGTTTGTCAGCGACAAGAGGACACAGTACTTCGTCTGCGGCCCTGTGTCGTTCATGGTCGATATGGAGAGAGTTCTGAAGGGATATGGCATCGAGGAGGGTAGGGTTCACGTAGAACTCTACGGGACAGGAGGCGTACCCAAGGCATGAGCGAACATCATGATCATCGGGCTAACCGTCAAGCAGTATCTGTAATGTATTTGTGCATACCGGCCATTGCGTTTTCATTGGAATTCACGAACTCCCCTCTCATTGCATCTGGGTGTCGTTGACACGAATCACCGTAAAATCGTGATGCCTACCGTTCGCCAAAAAAATAAACACTGGCCAATGCGCTCTCCGAGGGGTTAACGGCGGGATCCGCAGAGCTTCAGGACATTCGTAACTGCTCCTCCCGTGTCTATAGATGTGATTTAGCTATTCTACTGGTCAAGCGTCCGACCTTACCCGTGGATATATATCATCGGCACCTTGCCGTTATCTTTCCATCCAATCCGTTTCCAATCGGATAGCGTCACCGGCTTCACTGTTTAAAGGACGTAAGTCCTCGACCTTTGGAGCACGCAGAGGGCGCATCCGAGTTCCGAACCGAGAGCGAGGCAACGACTTGATATGTCCTCCGTCCTCTCTGGTCTTGCAATCGGGAAGCTAAATAGATTAGTTTCTAATTCATCTTGGCCAACGAGATTTTCCAATCATCTACCATGTTCGTCTTATCTAGGATAACCTGAATGCGTGAAGGAGTCAACGTGACTCACCAATGTGGATATCGGGGTGAGGCCAGGAGACAAATGGAGGAGAATGCAAAGACATGGAGAGACAAAGGAGAATGAATATCTATAGCGCGAGACCGATGTGGGCCTTCGTAGCTAGTAGCTCGAGCCGTCTTGTCTATATTAGCGGTATTGTCTCATCATCGCTTTCTGCATCTCTTTGTCTAGACCCATGCGCCCGCGCCAGTGTATCCCACCGATTGGAGGAGCATTCAGAGAAACAGTAGTATGAGATTGATGCTTCTCGAGGATCTCATCTAGGACTGTCGAAACGTCGAACTCCTGCAGAGTTCCCAACCTGTCGACCATTCCAAATTAACTGATTTTAGTGAAGTGAACCCTTGCGACTAACCAATCACCGTAAGGGAATACCAAGAGGTTGGCCGCAAATCTGTCGCCAGCACGAGCTTGAGGAGAATTATCGCAAGGATGAGTTTCGATCTCACTTATGCTGGCCGACATGGCCGACTTCGCCTACCAAGACTTGCTTTGCGGACATTTCACGTTTCTGCACTTCTTGTCGTAGAGCGTGCGCGACTTCTCCGCCCGTGTCGCCACATCTGCAATCGCGCTGTGCGTGCGTGCACACGTAGAGGTGCAATTGTGTATCTCGGGAAATCAGTGCATACTTTGACTCTACTGCTTCGACATGCAACCGGAGATTCTGTTCGACAGCATCTATGTTCGCCATGGATACTTCTGGAACGTCCAGCCGGTGGCCGAGAATGGAGAACGCAGTAGCGCGATACATCTCAAGGCCATCCGTAAAATGCTCGCCCATGCCAGAGTAGTCAGGATGGACAGCCTGATCTGGAGACCAGGAAAAATTGACGAGAGCGCCCCATTTCATTGTCCTCCGTGTCAGTTCGCGGAAGAGTGGCGACTTAAATTTGGCAGGGTACTCGGGAGGAGGACGGTGGGTGTGGAGAAGAATGTATCCCCGGTGAGGTGCGACAGTCCCTGAAATTTGGAAACTGACGGACGTGCTCGAGAATGCTCTCAGAAAGCCTCCGGTGGGGTCGCGAAGAGCGGTGGCTGTACGGACGTTCCAAAGCGATCGAGTGACCATGCACATGGTGTGTAGAGCTCTGTTGATCGCAAGGTGTCTGTTGACAGATTCTAGCACAAATTGTCGCCTCAACCTTTGCTATTAAAGCTATTGATCAATGGACAGGATAAAGGAAGATACTCGCAACTTGAATGATGCCAAGGATGCTCACCTAGTAGCGAAGATTCGGTTTTCAGCAACGTTATCTCATAAACTTGAGGGCCGTTGTCAATTGGTATCTCGACTGTGCGCGGGGAAGAAATGGCTTAGCTGGGGGATGGCTCTGCGCGATTCTGCTTTGATTCTTCGAAATATAGACACTCGGATTGGTTCTGGGTGGCCGCGCGGTCCTCCGGCATTGCGCGGAAACTGCCGGACATCTGTATTTGGAAGGTCCTGTGGTTTGCTTGAGACGACTCCCACACGAAATAGTCGAGAAAGCCTGACTGAAACAATTAATGATAATCCCTTGTAAGTGTAACATTCGCAGTAAAAGAGAATATTTGTATCACCTTTAGTAATTGAGGGGCAGAGAATGCGAGATTGGTCACGCGCAGGCGCATTGGCTGACCGGCTCACATCTTACAGCGTATGATACAATAAATATATATGTTCGCCGTGTCTTCAAATACTGCATTGCAAAGACATTATAGATGAGTAATGAAGAGCCATCAACATCGGACATTTTGAGCAAACGACTACATGTTGGGAATTGAGTACGCGGGAATCTTTAGTAATAAAGAAACAGCTGAGAAGCTGGAAAGATGACATAACTTAATGTGAAGAATGTGATCATCTTGTGCTAATATTCAAGGGCCATATACCGGAACAATGCAATGCAACAGCCTCAATAGCATCAGCTTGAGCTAATCTACCTCACTGCCGTCTTCCGAGAGAACCTTTTGTTCCACCCGCATCTAGACCATCGAAGATTCTGTCCATCTCCTCTGCACTGCCGGAGGCACGAATAATCTTGCAGATAGAGGCGCGAAGTGACGAGTAGACTCCATCAGGCTATGCGAAAAAAGATCGCCATCCGAGGAGCGCAAGAAATCTAAGTGCAAGTCGATAAATGAGTCGACTTGCCAATGCTTTCCCGGAGTTGTAGTGATCACACAAGGCTGATGTACGAAGGCTTCCAGTGTAGGCATATTCTTCGGAGAGTAGAGAATATTTCCCTTCATACAATCCAGAGTATGATCGCAGAATGATTCAACGGCAGTCCAAATTGTTGTCTTACCTGGCGGTCTATCACATTGACAGAGTATAAGCGACTTTGAAAACAGAAATTAAGACATTGCCACACACTATGTGAGCGCCATCCTGCACGAACTCATTCTGACTGAAGGGAATGATGTGGCTGCATCGGCCCCCACACTCGAGCGTCCGACATGGTGGCAACCACTTCGACTGCAAACTTCAGGTTCATTTTCCCGCTTATGAAGCATTTGTGCCTGTCGCGCACCAGGATCCGTATGAGCCAAGTACAACCACGGCGTTTGCACGCGAATATAACCAAGTGCACATACCTGCGCCTACACTGTACTGAGATGCTTCGCAGGTTCAGGCATCACAGGCGGATCAAAGATTTCACGAAAGTAATATTTGCGGACAGCTGGTGTTTTGGCTCCGGCAACCAGAACTACCGCATGGCATACTCAGATCCCAGCCGTGTTGCACAAAAAAAAACAGGGAGAACGCCGACGGCACAGTCATGCGGCAGTGCTCCGCTGGATCATCAATTTGTTCCGAGCCAGCATGTCTTACTGCCTGCGCAAACTTGATCTGACCTTCCAGAGACGGTTACGTCCAAGATGGCGGCCTCGTACAGATTCTTATTTCTCGTCGAAGCGGAAGCTCGGAAGAGAGCGGAAGATTCTTCGATTTGACTTAATCAGAGAGAAATGAGAACGCTCCCGTGCCAGAAGGAAAAGCCCCGAAATAAGTAACAAGGATCATCCGTATGAGCCATGGGGATTTGAGGGCCTATTCGGTCTAAAAACTGAGAGTCAGGACTTGGCATGTCCGTAGTATAAGTGCAAGCAGGTGCCACCATCATGCACGCGCCAATCATGATGTTCCGAGTCGAGATTTCTGGTCACGTGTGCAGGCAGAGAGCGATCGCGGTGCAAAGTGTTGGCAAGTTTAATATCTGCAACCCACTACCCTCTTCCTCGTGCTGTGGGGAGATGCTGCAGAGATGCTTGCTTCATCGCCTTCGTCGTCTGCTGTGACTATTCCTATCCCGGGAAAGTCGATATTGAAACGTCCGCCACCTCCACAGCAGTCGTTCTTCTCCCTTGCACGACTCACGAAGCTCTTGCCGAACCAAGTTCAACAGCAAGCCGATGCTGCTCAGGATGAGGTGGCAACCCTCAAGAGAGCACATTTCATTCTTCCGGAGATGACTACTGTGTATCCGATATCTGCTGCAAATCCACCGTGCACACCCACCATCAAGGAGGAGAAGCGGACGATTGAGGAACGTGAGGCAGAACGGAGACGTCGCATTGTGCGGGGCAATTCGTCTGCGTCGGATGTCAACTCTGGGGAGGATTGGTGGAGCATGGACAAGGTTGAGTCGTTCTACAGAGAGTGCTGTGATGGACGAGAGGAAATACATGATCCAGCAGTGTCTGCCGCATTCAAGGTGTGTACTGCGTTCAACATATGAGACATCCTGCGATCGGGTTCAACCAAGCACCGTCCCTTCCTAAGATTGATATTCCTCCGAGTCACTCCCGTGCTGCCTCGTCTATCCCAAGCTGACTGGTCGCGATGGTTAGCGTGTGGCCAGCACTCATCCCCGTGCTGTAGATCTGTCCGGCGTGCAACTCACCACGGGCTCCGCCTCCGTGCTTTCCGATGTCTTCACGATTGAGTGGGGACTGCGCCAGTTGACTCTCAAGGAGTGCAACCTGGATGACCACGTAGGTCTCGCAAACTCTCATGCAACGGTCTGCTGAGAGTCTGATGGCCAGATTTTGAAACCAATATTGCACGCGCTCCTCATTCCCGACAGCCTCACGTTCCTTTCGGTCGCATCGAACCGACGTGTGAAGGCCCCCGCTCTTCGGCTAATCGGTGCGTACATGGCGCAGGTATGTGAAGATCCACGCGAGTGGAGTGAATGCCAACTCATAGCAGCAGACGAAGAGTCTTCAATTCCTCGATCTGTCACAGAACAACCTCGATAAGAAGTCAATCGAGTACATCGCGATGGCGTTGCCTGAAGCACCGAAATCTGGCCTTGTGTCGCTTCGTCTGGACGACTGCTCGCTGAAACCTGCTGCCTTGGACGCGCTTGGTATGTTGTTCATTATTACTGTATCGACCGGCAAGGTTTGAGTCGCGTCTAGCTAACAGCGTGCGGAAATCTTCTCTGCGCAATATTTCTCTGCGGTTGAATCGCATTAGTGCCACGGGTGCGGTAGCTATCGCACTAATGATCAAAGACTACCCTGACCGCTTCCCAACAACAAACGGGAGCGCGAGCCCTACATCATCATCAACAGCCAGTCCTACATCGAGCGTTGCTGGCGTGTCTCCACCAATGACGCCTATCACGCCCACGATGAGTCCCCTCTCTAGCAGCAATGGCACAATCACCCCTCCGCCGCCTCCACGTGCCGGGCCCCTCCCTCCGCCTCCACGACATCCGTCGACCATCCCGCATACGACTTACGTCGCTTATGTCCCTCGTGCGAAGCGGAATGCGGCTGGGACTACCGCTGTTGCCAGCGTGAACCCGTTGTCTTCGACCGGACAGCAGATTCCGCTTATCACATCCTCTGCACAGGGTGGCGTGACTACGCGGCATCCGGTGCCGTCCTCGCCAGCGCCCACCAGCGCGGGGCATAACCACAATTCCTTGCAACAATACAACCATGGGCCGAGCGCAGCTTTGCTGGACAAGGTGCGCGCACTGGATAACCTACCACGGCTAGGTGCGCTGCGGACTTTGGATTTGAAGGGAAATGATATCCGCGTCAGTGCAGTTCAGTGCGCGTGCCGAGTCGTGATCTGATGTTTGGATGTCTTACAGAGCGGTATAACGTATATTGCGCAAGTACTCAAGCGCAATCGTACGTTAAAGGTTTTGAACTTGAGCGAGAACAAGCTGGACGTTCAAGGTCTGATTGCCGTGGCAGAGGCATTGGTATGTCATCTGGCCTTAGGACTTTCACCATGGCCTGATCATTGTTTGTGCAGAAATATAACTCTTGCTTGGAAACGTTGGACCTGAGCAAGAATCCTTGCTGTGGGCCGGCCTTGGAAGGGGTGAGTTGCCGGCTCAAGATGCTATCCATAGTGTTTTTACGAAGGAGCGCTTCAGATCCAGTCGTTGCGAACGGCGTTCACGCTGAATGATGCACTCAAGAGGTTGTTCCTTTCATCCACAGGGTTGACCTCTGCTGGTGCGATTGCATTAGCCGAATTCTTGCCCGAGTCAACATCCCTGCTCCATCTCGACCTCACCTTGAACAATCTTGATCTTGCTGGTGTGATGGCTCTCAGCTCAGGATTGAAGGCGAACCACACCATGCGGTGTCTGGATCTCAACATTCCTCCAGGAGATGAGGAGATGGCTCGGTAAGTGTCCAGAATCGTATTTAAGAAGTTCCTTATAGCTGAACGGATTTGACATCGATGTTAGCATGTGCCGCGAGATTCTCAATACCTGCGTACGTAACACAGAAGAGGCTGAGAAGAATGCACATCCTGCCCACACGGAGAATGGCAGTGGACGTGGGCAAGGCAAGGGTATATGGGGCATGATTGAGGAGAGTGAGCTAGCGAAGACGTTCCGGCAGGACGACCAGAAAAAGGTTGATAGCGTTACTACCAATTCGCCTGTTCCGTCCGAACCACCAACTGACTTTCCTCCCGCGGCAAAACAGACAGAGGCAGACGTCATCATTCAGGCTCGTGCATGTAAGAGCCAAATGGAGGACTTGCTCGCGCGCTCGCCATCATCGTCTTCTGCACCTGCGTCTCCAGTTACGGACGTAGTCGCTGACCTGGCGGAAAGCGTGAAGGAAGTCCAGAAGTCGTTGATGGCTCTGATCGAGACTTCCACGGAGCCTGAACGACTACAAGACCTGCTTACGCTGAACGACGATCTCACTGCGCTGCTGGTCCGTTGCGCGCCAGTGAGACAGGCTCTGTCGTTGCGCGGCCTAGGCATTCGCATTGGCCAAGCTAACGGGTCCGCTCGAACATCGTCACCAGTGAACGGACGTGCAGCGAATGACGAGAAGGGCAAGGGGGAGCCTGTCACGCCTCGGATCGACAAGGGCAAGGGCAGGGCAGAGCCTGAGCCGGAAGAGCCAGAGAAGGTGCTCAGCCCCACGTTCCTGATTACTGAATCGGACGACGAGGATGGCGATGGTCAAGAAGCATCAATGCCGCCCGCCGAGGGTCTGGTATCTCCCACTGAGATGTACGTCAGTCCACACTGTTTCGAACGCCTCTGCTAATCTAACGAGTGCTTTAGGTCACGTAGCTGGATGGAAGAAGAGGGTGAGGTGTTCCGCAAGGGCACCGTTCTTCTTGGACCGGAAGAGATGGAAGGCGAGTACGATGGCGAGGAGCTACGTAGAGAAGTAAGTGCAGAAGATGATTCAGTTGGCCACTACTCACCGGTAATTAGCTATTGGAGGCGATGGTTGAACGCCCACCGCCGAGAGCGGTCCTGGATGACTTCGGCGCCGAGCTTGATCCTGATCACCCTTCACCCACGTCACCTTCGACATCCTCACAGGAGAAGAAGCCGCTGCCTCGACCATATATACGGCGTTCGCGCTCGTCGTCCAACAGTGACTCGCCTCAGGCTGTGTCTTCTAACCACAAGTCACCGGATGGATCCGCCGTGTTAGGAGTGACTAGTCCGACTTCGCCGACGTCACCTTCCGTGCAGTTCAAGGCCTTCCTCAGTCGCAGAACCTCGTCCGCGTCATCAAATTCCAAGGACGCTGAGTGAGGCGTTGTAATAACGAATGGTCAGTGCGCTCGTTTCGTCCGGCATCCCCAACTGAGTCTTTCCTTCAGTCTTTGGAAATCGCCGATGAGACATCTGCACGCTCACAACTCTACTTTGTTGATATCCCCGCATTTTTCGGCTTTCAACGTTGTGCATTCTGACCATGGACATACCCTTTTGGTGTCTTCCTGCTTTGATTAATGAAGGCACCGTCGTTTTAGATATAATGCCCACTCGACATTCCTTTACACGCTTGTTCCTTGGTCAGACGCGCTGTAGAAACTTTAATTGTAGATATCTTACAGTCATGTTATTGTTGATGAAACAGATATGCTATGGATCCGACTGGGGCTTTCAGTTACATAAAGCTATGTGTATGTGAGCGCCTGTGGCCACGTTCGATAGTACGATCTCGCCTTCAGCATACTCCTGAGTTGCCGCAACGTCCAGGGCTCCAGTCGCGATGTGCAGCACGGTGGTTTCAAAGAAGAGCACGGCACTGATACGGTATTATTTTGAACACATGCACTAACGAATAATAATTGTTGAAACAAGTGAAATAATTCCAAAATGTGTACGACTTTAAAACGGTGTTGCCCTTTGGACTATGATTATCACCATTGCGTCCAATATGGTTCCGACGGAAACATGGGCTCATACCCGCGGGGGTCGGCAGTTGCTTGAGCTGAGATAACTTAGCCTGTTGAATTGGGATGTCGTTATTACGTGTAATGCGCAGCGCCAACCTCGCGCAAAGTCTGGCTCGTGAACTGCCGTCGTTACTCCCAACATCATGGCACCTCGCGCACCTAAAAATCTTTCTGAGCCCTCTGAGCCCACGAGGAAATCCTCCAGATTGGCTTCACAGCCTAAGCTAGAGGATGGGGACGTAGCGAAGAAAGCTGCGCCCAAGGCCTCAAAAAAGAGAACTGCCGATGCTGATGCAGACGAGAAGAGTCCTGCTGTGAAGAAGGTATAATTCTTTATTACATGTTTCAACGGTATATCAGATACAGCATACCAATGCCATGCATGTGCTGGACGGATCGCGAATCGCGAGCCTCAACTAGCTTTTTCGGCATGACTGTCATACGCGGTACTGACACGAGTTGCGCAGAGTAAGGCTGAAGAAGCGGCTGACGGAACCCCGGATACCAAAGAGTCTAACAAAGGTATTCACTGTAATGTGCATGTTTTCATGGCAACGGTCAGTCAAAGAGTATTCGCAGAGGCCGAGAAGCTCGCTACTATCGATATTGGGGACTCCCTGCCATCCGTTACTCTCAAGAATGAGAAAGGCGAAGATGTCGACGTATCCACGTTGGTTGCTGAAAAGGGAGTCGTCTTGTTCCTTGTTCCCAAAGCCGATACTCGTGAGTGCTCCGCGAGGATTGTCCTGCTAGAGTCCCAGCCGACGTTTCGAAGCCGGATGTACCAACCAGGCTTGCGGGTTCCGCGATATTTACCCGGACTTCGCCTCACACAACTTCGATGTATATTGCTTGAGTGCAGATAGTCCAGCGGCCCAGACGAAATGGCAGGCGAAGGTATGCCGAACAATTGTTTTCTCGAGTCGAACCTCCCTGCTCACCTAATTATAGAAGAATCTACCTTACGCTTTGCTCTCTGACCCAAAGCGAGCGCTCATTACTGCCTTGAAAGCCAATGAAGGCGGGAAGACCAAGCGCAGCCACTTCATTTTCGAGAAGGGAGGAAAGTTGGTCGACAAGAAGATTCCGGTCAAGCCCGCTGATAGGTGAGTGTCATCGCGATATCGATCCGCCGGAATCCTTAAATATGCTTCTCAGTCCTAAATTGGCTCTGGAATTCGTCGAAAAGTTGAATGCTGCGTAGGATGCTAACTTGGCTTGCAAGATACCTCGGTTTCCCTTTCAACATTCTCCATCTGGTCCAGCTGATACCACTGCATGACAGTGCTGTGATTCTCATGCCTTGACTTGTGTGCCTGATGCTCATTGCTGTTGTTCTGTGGCGGCTTTCTAGGCTTCTTGGTTCTGTTGATTTTCTGAACTTGTAATGCTATCTGTTGTTCAGCCTATACCAATGCTCTATAGCTCACATGATTGCCCTCGATCTGCAACTCGTCAATCTGCTTGGCTTCATCGCGAGACGTCAATCAAGTTCGCTTAACCAAGCGTATGGATGAGACGCGTAGAACTAATCACATTATGCTACGCCAACAGGTCGCATTGTACCTGGTCACGTAGCTGGATGGAAGAAGAGGGTGAGGTGTTCCGCAAGGGCACCGTTCTTCTTGGACCGGAAGAGATGGAAGGCGAGTACGATGGCGAGGAGCTACGTAGAGAAGTAAGTGCAGAAGATGATTCAGTTGGCCACTACTCACCGGTAATTAGCTATTGGAGGCGATGGTTGAACGCCCACCGCCGAGAGCGGTCCTTGATGACTTCGGCGCCGAGCTTGATCCTGATCATGCTTCACCCATGTCACCTTCGACATCCCCACAGGAGAAGAAGCCGCTGCCTCGACTATATATACGGCGTTCGCGCTCGTCGTCCAACAGTGACTCGCCTCAGGCTATGTCTTCTACCGACAAGTCACCGGATGGATCCGCCGCGTTAGGAGTGACTAGTCCGACTTCGCCGACGTCACCTTCCGTGCAGTTCAAGGCCTTCCTCAGTCGCAGAACCTCGTCCGCGTCATCAAATTCCAAGGACGCTGAGTGAGGCGTTGTAATAACAATGGTCAGTGCGCTCGTTTCGTCCGGCATCCCCAACTGAGTCTTTCCTTCAGTCTTTGGAAATCGCCGATGAGACATCTGCACGCTCACAACTCTACTTTGTTGATATCCCCGCATTTTTCGGCTTTCAACGTTGTGCATTCTGACCATGGACATACGCTTTTGGTGTCTTCCTGCTTTGATTAAGGAAGGCACCGTCATTTTAGATATAACGCCCACTCGACATTCCTTTACACGCTTGTTCCAAATGACCAATTTGGCTATTTCAGTACGCCGGTCACGTGAACACGTGATGCAGTTGTTGCAGATTACATAACTTTTATTACATAACTCATGCAACTCACCACCGTCGCCCTCAAAGTTCCGCCCTAGGACTTGTTCATCACGACATTTACTTCATTTTTTGGGGTATTCACCATACTTTTCTCAGATATGATGTTCGTCACTGAATGTGATTCATCACCGTATTCGTTCTGCTACAATGTGTTGCACCGCAGACATGAAGCAATTTGCGCATGTGGCAAATGCTTAGCAAATGTCGACAGGTTTTTTGCCTTTGTGATCTCAATTTGCTACAGTTCCTTCCCACATTCCATATTAAGTATTTGCATAATAATATGTTAGAGGTAGAAATTTAAAATCATATATTTTAAGAAATGACACCATTTTCAAACTCACCAAATACATTTAGAATTTGAGCGCTGTTGAATGTAATCATACATTTTGAATTTCAAACTATGACATGTATAAAATATCCAGTAGCAGATGAAGGTGTAATTACAGTGAATGACTTTCATTCTAGTAATCTTGGCTAGAATGACTTCAGTAGGGAAGTAGAATGTAGGCATAATCACACCTTCATCTGCTACTGGATATTTTATACATGTCATAGTTTGAAATTTAAAAATGTATGATTACATTCAACAGCACTCAAATTCTAAATGTATTTGGTGAGTTTGAAAATGGTGTCAATTCTTAAATATATGATATTAAATTTCTGCCTCCAACATGTTATATGCAAATACTTAATACGGAATGTGGGAAGGAACCATAGCAAATTGAGATCACAAAGGCAAAAAACCTGTCGACATTTGCTAAGCATTTGCCACATGCACAAATTGCTTCATGTCTGCGGTGTTGCGTGTTGTTGCATCACTGTTGTATCTCTGGCTGCTGTGGACAGGCTTGCACACCTATACATTTGTCGGCATCGTCGATTGTGATACAGGCATGCCTTTTGTTGATACTGACCATGTACTTGTCAATCTCCTATTTGTTTTGATCCACTCTGTCACTCTGAGTGCTCTCAGTCCTTACAATGCTCTACCTATTGCCCGTCAAACACACCTCCTCACTTATTCGTCCACCACCGTTGGTCTTGATCCACTAGCTGTCCTCCCATCTTGTCAGCACCCCACTCGGACCACATACTTTTACATGGCTTCGATCCGAAGTTCAAACAAGCCATCCAATGCACCTGGAACTCCGACGTCCCTGCTCATGCCTGCGGTTCATACTCTAGATTCACCTTCAGCAATCCGAATTCATCATATCGCAGATGCTAACAAGACTTACCCTGTGGTAGACTGTGTGCGGTGACTGAATAAGGACCAGTTGTCTGGATGAGTTCTCGAGATGAAATGGAGAAAGCCTTCGACAGCTTAATGTAGTTGTACATCTATTGCGTACTCCCCCTGAATAAACTTTGCATTGCTGTCATTTGGAACCGGCGCTTGACGCCTCTTCACCCAAGTTCCTTGGTCAGATGCACTGTAGATACTTTAATTGTAGATATCTTACAGTCACGTTATTGTTGATGAAACAGATATGCTATGGATCCGACTGGGGCTTTCAGTTACATAAAGCTATGTGTATGTGAGCGCCTGTGGCCACGTTCAATAGTACGATCTCGCCTTCAACGCTGATTGCTGCCCAAGTCACTGGAATATCAGGTCCTCACGGACTCAAGTCACAGGGCTGTGAGATAGATGAGCTCACCCCCGGCTCTTGTTGACTGCTAACTCGGTCAGCCACACGTTCCAGGTCTGGACATGCCTCACGAATGTCATCTCAATACATGCTCCTGTATAAATGCTCTGCGTGATATACTCTGGCTACGGTCTGCTTAAATAAAGCTGAAACAGTGGATCTATCAAATACGCCCCACTCCGAAAGCTAAAACGACAAGTCCAAGATGGCTGTCGTAGAGAAACAAGAGCCCGAAGGTGCACATTGTATGAAATAAGAAGCCATCAAGTATGCACGACAGCGTACACCATGTATAACTAAACAATTACTCATCACATTACAGCAACATGACACGACAGTCCGGTGACTTATAGTATGTAGATACACACATATTGACTTTACAGAGATCACCGCGCAAGTGGAGCGCCACCTCGTTATAGTAATCTTTAGCGGTTATGCGAGACAACGAAGTCCATCATCGCCTCAAGGGCAGTCTTCGCTGGGCTTGCAGGCAGCGCGTCAATGGCCTTGCGTCTCTGCCTGCATAGAGGCATGCCAAGGAGCGAGTGCGCGATATTGCTCCACAAGTGCGTACAATCTCCAATGCCTACAAGTTTTGTCAATCGACGAACGAATCGCGAAACTGGACTATGACAGGGCTGAGAGATAGATGAGCTCACCGCCGAGATATCCCCCAGCTCTTGAAATCTACGAGCAAACAAGGGCAGCATTCGTGCATCTTCTTCCATAGCGAAGAATATAGGTGCTGTGATAAGCCCTAGGCGCAAGTCCGACGCGCCGGATGGCTTCCCAAGATCCTCTGAATGCCCTTCATAATCCAACGCATCGTCAATCAACTACATAGTAACGAGCACCATGGATGAGATTACATATGTTTGAATGAAGGTCGTGACTTACCTGAAAAGCCATACCTAATTCGTTACCGAAAGCAGCTGCGACATTCTGCCATGGATCTGATGTGGTGGATCCGCCTAAAATCACAGCACATTGCAGTGTGTGCGAGAATAGACTAGCTGTCTTCATGTACGTTTTCTGCAAATAATCGTCCCAATGTGCCTTGAGCGCGTCGTCCGTGTCATCCAAGGGAATGCTGGCGACGCTGCTGTAATTGCTCTGGAACGTGCTAGCGATAGAGAGGGCATCTTGAGCTTGAAGTAATTCACCCTCAACTAATGTACAAATCACTTTCGAGACAAGGTCCATGACGTCAGACGAGCCCAACATAGCACAGGCTGCCATAGCACGCCCGAGGAGGAAATCGCCGCTCAGTATAGTGCGTTTATTGCCGAATGATACAGGAGCAGATGGCACTCCACGGCGAACCGGAGATTCATCAATAACATCGTCATGTAGCAGCTGTGGGAGTTGTTAATAGAATGTAAATTTGCATGTAGAGAAAGCGTACAGATGCTACATGTATCATTTCAATAATCTCCGCAAGACGGACCTGGGAAGGTAAGACTCTCCCCAACAACGTGCTCTGACCATCTACGCACCATGTCAGTAATTGGCGATGCAATGATTGCCATGAGATGAAACGGACCGTATGGCAAGTTCTGTCCTGACAGTTGCCAGATGTCGGATTTGGACGGCCACTCAGAACCTAGACCATTGGTTGCTTGGGCCATAAGAAATATGAGAGAGGGCCTCAGTCGCTTGGATGGTTGTTTGATGTAATACTGCGCTATCTCAGCAAGGAATCGAACAGGTGTAATGACAGAGTTTAACAGCCCCTCCTCGAACTGGGAGATGTAGAGTGCCAGCAGTGTCATCGCAGGAGGCTGAGGTGCAGACTCTGGATGCGAAGTGATTCGACTTTGAAATAAATGACCATGTAGGTCCACGGCTTTGGTTTCTGTGATTTCGGTCAGCCTCGATGGCAACTGGAGCATGGTGGATAGTATTGCGCAGAGCCAGTTGCTTCACGCACTCTATTTATAAGGAGACGCGATTGCGCTCTTTTGCGGACAGAGTCCGACCAATCCAGACGTGACACCCAAGGTTGTGATTGGTGCCTGAATTGTGTGCAAAAGTAGTGTGAAAATCGTGAGATACACCCGTGCCTAGTTAGTCATGTTGACTGTGCAACCGCGACAGACTTGATACGACTCGTATGATATTTGTGATGCAAGAGCTCTCCCTAGAAACAGAAAAGGGTAGTGGGCCATGCCATGCTGCTGACTCCGCTGTCACGGTAACACCAGACAAGAGATCAAAAGACTAAAAAAGGGACAGTCACGTGGAACGTGCCGCCCTGATCCCCCTGATCCCAAAAGTATCCCCCTGATCCCTATGTGGCACAAGAGCCTGTTGACTTACTGGTCGACGTGGCAGACGCAGGAAGGGGTGAGAGATATATGAAGGAGCTGGTGAGCTCAGTAGGTGCTATAGGTAGTAGACGAGGAGAAACAATCTGAGGTTTCGTCCCCTACATGGCTGGTCTTATATACACATACAGCAGGCTATCTTACCTAAGCTACCTAT